TGTACCATGTACAACATGCACTCACAACTTGCAACTTGTTCGTGGTGCCTAACGGAGGTGGAGTGAGGCAGATTCTAGGCTTTGTCTGAGTCGTCAGTCTGGTTTCTGGATATTTTTTTTATTATATTTCGTATGGCATTGCCTCAAGCTCTGAAATGGGTCAATTTAGTGACAAGCGATGGCGTTGCGATCCAATGCCACTCTACAAGACACAGTCTGCCATCTACCATCTAACAGCTAACTGCGGACAGCGACATGCTTCTCTCGTTGAAGCAACTGCTGCATGTTGAACAGACCTGACACATAATAATCATTGTAAATGGACTTTCTTTTATCTGCTCTCAGGACATTTTAGAGCTGCACTTACCATTAGCTAAGACTAAACTAGAAATAGAGAAATAAAATAGATTTTCGATATTTTATAATAATTTTTGATAGATTTATTGTCAAAGTTCTAATCTAATAAAAAAAAATAAATAATCATAAAATTTTTATTAAATTAAATGAATTAAGTTGATTTGACTTAAAATATTTATCAACTTTTGTGCTATTGTATATTAATAATATAACTAAAAATAATCTTTGCCTATGCCAAAAGTGAATCACTTTTAGTCGTATCATCAGTTTCCTCCTTCAATTTTATACAACTTCCAGGAAACAAACGCTTTTATCGGCAAAAAAACATATATTGTATAATAAATATTATATGCACAGATTCAAGACCATTTTTCAAAAATACCCAATATTATCAACCAGCTAAAAAGAACTCATGAAGTGGGCTTCACGTTAGCGAAGATAAGTGAAGCCTCATTGAACAGTAAAGATAAGAGCTTTATCATAGCAGATATTTATGCTGGAATCATGGTTTATTTAAAGGTAATTTAGCTGAAGGTAGGCGTAACAAAAGGAAAACATCTGTGTGTTTTATCTGCTGTATAGAAACTATCCACCCACAGCTTTGCACTCGGACTTTATTGTAATCAATTAAGCTGGAGAATTATGGAACTGTCGAGGGCAATGTCTGTTGGCATTGTTTGCGTGGGCGGAGAGTGACCAGAGTGCATTGATATAGCTCTGCCAGCAACAATATATATTTTATTGCAATGCCTTTTGATAGAAAGGTAGGCGGAAACTTCAAGGCGTAAATAAATTAGAGCAACATGACCAGCAACTGAGTGGCTTAACTTATCAATCGAACGATTATATTTGGTACCCAGTGCCTGGCTTGGCATGGGCAAAAAAAAGGTTTCCAAGCGACCCACTCGCTTTGGCCAGCACGCAAACGAGTCACGAATCTCGGAGACTCTGGAGCCATGAGCAGCCATAAGATTGGCCCAGCTGCTTAAGCCTAAAGATGATGCCAAGCCAAAACGCCTTTTTTACTTATTAATATAACCCACTTTCATGCTCGTGCCGCAGTTCAATAACAAAATTTTGAGTCTATAAAATGAAAGGATAACATTTAAAAGAGAGTTATCAAATGAATGCAATCAATTGCAGTCGCTTTTTCGTAATATGAAATATGAGAGAGTCAAAATGTTAATTAGACGACTAAGATCTGCAACTAAGTTTATGTACAATCTTGAAAGATATTATATATAATGATGTATATGCTTATATCTAAGTGAAAAACTATGAAAATAAATGAACTCAAAAGAAATGTCTCAAATAAAACAAAAATGAACTGGAAATACTATTGAACATGAGTCCAGTTCACCGTTCATGGTTCACGATTCATCATACATCAAGATCGATTCGGTTTCCTAGGTCAGGTTTATGCGCCTCTTATTGCATGCACAATATGAATACGCGATATAAAAGGTGCCAGGGAGTGATTGTATACGAATATAAATTTATGCAAATAAATTGAATTTTATTATACATTTATATTTGTATATATATATATATATATATATATATATATATATATGCTTTACTTACCTAACGTAATTCCTGTAATGCTTTGTTCGTTTTTACACAGCAATAATATCTAAAGAAATCTAAGAAAAAAACTAAAAAAGTTACTTTCTTCGCACAGACACTAAAAGTTTATTTGAATAATTTAATATTCTGTGCTTGATATTGGCAGCACATTCAACTTTTATTTATGTCTAAGCACGCAGAACAGCGCATTATTGAAGCTTTGATAGACAGTTGTTATACACTATTAATATTTTATTGATTTTAAATGCTTGTCAAAATCACAACAAATGGAAAAAGTTGCACAAAAATTTGCCACGACGAACGCGTCAAAAACGAACGAGCCTGAAACCTCGACTGAACCTGAACCGGAGCTGAGCTTCAAACTTTGAGCGCGTGAGCGAACACAAGCACAAACGCACATACGCTCGTTCAATCGCTCACGTACTCTCTCGACCTCTCTCAGTTTCTGTTTTGTTGTGCTTGTTGTCATTGTGTCTGTGTTAGTGTTTGTGTGTGCATGTATGTGTGGGAGTGTAAAACCAGTTTGCTTGAGTTTAACTGCTTGCCACATGTGGCAAATGTGTTTGTTTGCTTGTTGCGCTTGCTCTGCCGATCTACCCCTTTTTACGTCTCCTTCTATGGTATGGTATGGCGATCTCTTGGTTTCTCTTGCTTACGTTTGCGCTCTGCACGCTTTATACTGCCTTTGCCAGCAACTTTTTAAATTAAAAGCCAACAAACGACGTTTTTTCAATTCTTTTTCATTTCGTCGTTCTCTGCTTCTGCTTCTTTTCTTCTGCTTTGTTTGTCACATAATCAAAACAAACGCGATCTTCGATCACGATGCGTTCTTTGCTTTTGTTTTTATTTCGACTTCTGGTTGTGCCCGTTGCTGTTGTCGTCGTCGTCTCTCGTTCTTTGCTTGCGTTTTGTGCCTACGCCGCAGCTCATTAACTTTTTACAGCTACTGTTTCTTCTCTCTTCATACGAAGTACGTAATTAATTTGATGGCCCCGAATTGTTAGAGACGCGCGCATAGCCGCCCAGATAAGCCCCCAACCTCCAGGCCCAACGTGCCGCTCCACGCGAGGCAGTCGTAAATTGCCTTGCGTCAAATCAAATTAGTTTCAGAGTTCAATCTGTCCATCCCAGCGAGCATTAGCAGATGATTTTGTGTGTGCTCAGAGTCTTTTTGGTTATCTCTGGGGTTTTGTCTAAAGCTTGACCTTACCAAGAGCTGTTGGTCATTTAAAGATTTTTTTACAGTTAGATGCAAGACATGATAACGGTTAACGAATTAATCGATTTAAAATTGTAATTTTAGTTTGTTTATTTATATATTGTTTTGTAAACTAACTTTGTTCCATATCCCACATTGCCAAATGTTCCTTTCCAGATGTTCCTGGTTCGCAACTCTAATCCATAGTGTGTGTGTGTGTGTATGTGTGTACATATGTGTGCATGTAAAAGTAGGTACGCTGTAAACGCTTAAGCTGGTTTTTAGCTGTGCCACATTTATGTAGATTTTGTTTGGTTTAAGTAAACATATCTTATCTAGTGGTGCCACCCACACAGGCCGCATGAATAAGGTGGGCAGTGGATGCGCTTTGCAGTCTGTTGCAGCTAGAGGTGTGTGTTGCCCAATATGATGGGCTGGGACGTGACACGAGCCAAAACTAATCGAAGGTAAATCGAGTGCAGCTCCCAAAAGCCCCGCCTTATGGCAAAACAAAAAAACAGAAACCAGTTAAAGTAAAGCCCAAGAAATACAAGCGACCCACGTCAAGAAAAAGGGACATGGTGAACATAAATGCAATTGAGAGACATGGCCATAGGATATGCAACATGTCAGCTGCGACAGGCCACAGCGGAGCTTTGGATGAGCCAAGAGCCAGGCTCATGACAACCTGCAATCAAGCGCCAGAAGGCAGCCAGCAGAGGTTGCAGTCTGGGCCATCATGAACAGGCTGCATGCAATCGCGTAGGCAACAAACGTCATTGCAACAATGAGGCGACATTTGTGCGAGAGGCTTTAACTTAAATTATGCGCCAAGAAGCAAATAAGGTCTCCACTCGCCACTCGCCGCTCGCCAGTCGCCATAATAATGCTAATGCATGGGCTATAATCAAGTTGAACGTTGCACAAAGTCATGGTCATGTTTGTTGTTGCTGCTGTCTTTCCCAGCTGGCAACAACAACAGTGTTGTTGAGACAACGGCCAAACAACAACCGCAAAAAACAATTAAGTCTGAAACACTAAGGAAAGCCACATAGAGAGCATCCAGACTTATACAAATATATGGCTTTGTGGCAAGCCAGCAAATTTTCAAGCAGCAGCTGTTTTATCAAATCAGCTCGTGCCACAAACATTTCTGCACCTGCGGCACCTCCAACAAAGTTTAATATTTCGTTAAAGCGACAATTTAAGTGCTAATTTTTACCCAAAACAGCTGCGTGCAAAGAGAACACGAGCCAAAATTTCGAAGGGGGAATAAAACAAACTTTAATAAGCGCAAACTGGTTGCAGGATGATGCCTACTTAAATTGGGTTTTGAAGTCGTTGTCAGTTCGCTCGGTCAGACAGCGCTTGGAGTCGACTCAGCTGCTGGTAAAAACAAACACATCGAGGCCTTGGGGGTTCAGCTTTTCAATTCTGTGAGAGATGGAACAGCTCCCATTAGACGTAATCGTGGCGCAATTGTCGTTGATTGTTGTCGTCCGTTTTTCTTGTGCTCTTTCTCAGCTAGCCCCTCTTTCCAAATGTAGATGATTAGCTAAAATGCGTGCGAATCTTCATTGCGTCGATGACAATTGCTGATGTCAGCAATTTATTTAGATTTACATAACAACAATTGTGTGTAGTAAGTAACTTATCTTGCTCCCATTCTGCAAATGCATACATTTTAGAGGTTTATATATTTAAACTGAAAATTGTAAAGTTATGGCAAATTTAAATAGAAGGCAATTTAAATTGCGCGCCCAATAATGCTTATCGAACTAAAACCAGTATTTATTATCTGCAGCCAACTCACTCTTATCGAAATGTTATCGAAAGTGTTTAAAGCATCATGCATTGGTGTTGTAAAATGCCAAACTAGAAGAAGCAGCTGCAGGCTTATAACAAATACTGTAAACAAAAATAATAATAATACCTAGCACACAATGAGATCCAACAATGGCCAGCATATCCCTCAACGTTATCGGGTCATTAACAGCAACAAGAAATTGAAAATAATACACAGAGCCTCTGTACCGACAGTCCAAAAAGCGGCTAACAAACGATTTAGCCAAACAAAATTGAAGCAGAGCAATTTGTTGTCTCAACCAGAAGTATACCAGGAGGAGGAAATGTCCCAATTGAGTGATATGGAATATATGACAGAAGCAGAGGCAGGCACACATCGTACACTATGAAATTAAAAACTAATCAATTATCCCTATAGATGGATCACGCCGACAACGAGAAACACGCTCTTAAGACATTGACATCTACGATACGACCGTTGCTTCAGCTCTTTTCCGATGATTCCTGTTCACCTAAAAACACAGATCCTGCCATTCACAGTACAAGAGCCCAGGACCCAACACAGGATACCCAACAGATTGTATATAAAAATATCAGTCTTTCCTCTGAAGAGGAAGAAGAAGAGGAGGAGGGCGGTGAAGTGGAAGACAAAGTCTCATTACACGATGAACATAATGTATATGTGAATGACGAAGCTTTAAGGGTACCAGAACATAAGCCAAATCGTCCAAGACCAGACAGTCTCAGTCGATTTGAATGGTCACCAAAATCAACAAACATATTCCTGGATCTATGGGAAAAGAACTTAAAGGAAATTCGAGGTCCACGAAAGAATTCCCTCATACACAAAGAAATGGCCGAGGAAATGAGCGAATATGGACCAAGTCATAGAGAAATCAAATCAAAAATGGACAATATGTCTCGAAAATTCAGGTGTGTTATATATATATATTTACGTGTATATAAACATAAATTATTTTCTAAACTAGGTTAGAACTGAAAAAGATAAAATCTGGAAATCCTACAAATTGGCGATATTTTAAAAGAGTTCAATCTTTGTTAATTGGAACACCCTCTGTGGATTTTGAAGAAATTATATTCGATAATACGGGTAAGTAGCTTAAATAAACATATTAAGAATTTTTTATAGACTGATAATGAAAACTTCTTAATGCAGAGTCGTCGACATTTTTTAACTCGGACAGCAGTGATGTGGAAAATGAAAATCATAGCAATTCACAGGAGCATAAACAATTGGAGCATCAACCTATGCCCACAGACGAGACTGAACACGTCGCAGAAGACTTAGAAGAACAAGATCAAGTAGATGAAAAAGTAGAGCAACCTCCGGTAATTTTACCAAGATCAGAGAAAGACGATTATCATTACGCATCCAGAGAAGTTCCAACAAATCGTATGTTGGATATCGAAGAAGAGAAGTTAGTTATTGAGAAACAGAAACTACAGGTCATGAAACATATATCCAGAGAACTTACATCGATAAGCAAAACGTTAATTGAATTGCTACGAAATGCAAAATAAAATAGTAAAGATTGCGTACTTAAAAATATTATTATTAATAATTCGTAATTTAAAGTCTGACAATATTTTTTAATATGAAATGTAATATTAAATCAAATTCTAATTAGAAAAATAGTGTTAATATTAACACAAGGCTTTTTAGTATTTTTTTTTGGCATTGTAAACTAGAGTTTACCGGAGACGGTCACACTTTTTAACACGCTATGGCAAAGCCTATAAAACAAGCAATGTTTGTAATAAATGTTCAGGAAGAAGAGGCAAAGTGCACAGAATCACAGTTGGATATATTACTTAAAATCCATGATGGCCAGTACAGGCTAGTAAAAAAGAAAAAACGCAGTTCTGTGTGGAACGTGTACAGGGAAATTGCCCGTCCGGACGGCACTAAGCTAAAATGGAGATACTATTGCTTGGGATGCAAGCGTGTAATGCAATCAACTGGAGGTACTACGTCCAATCTGCGCATACACAAATGCCATGTGCGCTATCTGAAGCAGCACGGCAAAGACGCCGATTCTTCGAAGACGCCACACATCCGTAACAATGAGCAAAGGATGCCAATGGCATCGAGTAAGCGGCAAATTCAACTGTACGATGAGTTCAACGATACGAAGACGACAGTAGAATACAGCGATGAGGAAGATGACTATGAGGAACTAAACATCACATCTGCCTCGAATGTAGAGGTGAGTGCTGCCCAGTAGACGAATATGCTTCTAATTTGTCTCTCCTTTAATAGATTGAGCCAATTGGTTCACCGGAAACAAATCATAAAACCATTGAAAGACCACTTATCAAGTTGTTCTCAGAGGATGAGGCCTGGCCACCCGAAATAACCGAAGAGCATCCCATTGAAATAGACAATGTTACTGAAGATGTATCGATGGATTTCAGTAAGGAAACAATTCGACCCAATTCTGCGAACGAAATACACATTGACGGCAATGCGATCTCTGAGGCCGAAAGCTATGCCCGAGCCTGGGCGCACGCATTTCTCAAATTGAGCGAAGAGCAAAAATTCTATGCGAAACGATCGATTGATGAGCTTCTAGTATTGGGCAGATTGGAACGGTTAAATCTTTCGACGGTGACATCGCTGACCACCAATTTGTAAGGCTCGAATTAAGTACTCTTTAACATGGCTAACATAGGTTTAATTAAATTAATTTTTATATAATATAAATATATATCCCCATAGAAGATGAAAAATTCTGAAAATGTAGTTGCTTTTTAGTTGGACCTAATATTTCATTGCCATTTGTTCTTGCTCTGAAGTTAAGAGCAATTGCAAACGAATCATCTCAATGGTTTTCTAAAGAATAAATCTTTCTATAAGAAATCTTAAATAATTGCTATCCTGATCCTAATTTAAACAGAGATAGATTCTAGGCTTATTTACATGTAAAATCTATTTTTACTATATATAGTTAACCCAATAAATGATGAAATGTCTTTTCATATTTTTCAATTTTTTTATTTTTTCCAATATATTTTTTAGTTTTTTTTTGTTTGTTTTTCTTTGTTGCATTTTGCATTTTGTATATACTTTTCTTTCCTGTGAATTACAAACTGTTTGCTCTCATCTGCTTTCGCTTGATGTTTCGTGTACATTTGCGGGGCATATATTGAATAAGTTTCTCCTGATCTGAATTTTAGTATTACAATTAAATGTGACTTTCAGTATTGAGAGCTTACGTATTTCAGATGTATCTCAATGATGGTACAATCAATGAGGTGTCTGTGTGTATGTGTGTGTGAGCGTATGTGTTGCATAAATGAATTCATTTTTAATGTTAGATTTTTTGGTCAACATCTTCGATACGAAACTCTAAAAATTGAAAGCTGGTAACAAACACGTACAACAAAACTTTCATGTAAAATTACAAATTCATGATATTCAAATAATTATTTTTTGTTTTCTTTGTATAAATATGTGTATAAATATAGATATATATATAAATATCTATATATAAATATATATATATATATATCTATATACATATATAAACGTATGCATATGTATATATGCATTTTTTGCCTCTAATATATTAATTTTAGGCTTCTGTGTCTATGAAGTTTATTGTTTGCCTTCGCTGATTTTATAATACAATTTGAAATTTATGCAATTTTTTTGCCATGCACACACATAAATATGGTATATCAAATATATCATTGAATTGAATTTGAAGTTGTTGGTTTTTGCATTTTTTGGTTTATCATTTGTAAATTTTACATTTTGGTTTTCCTGTTGCTTGTCCCAGATGAAAACAAAACATAAAATATGCGGCGGCCCATTTACAAATTTATACATGGACGAATTTTCATTTCCACCTGTTGCTGTTGATTATTTTTCTTGTTGTTGTTGCTGCTACTGCATCTGTAGTTGATATTGTAGTTGTTGTTACGGCCTAATGCAATAGTTGCTGCTGCTTGTTGTAGTAGTTTTTGACGATTGACTTTTTTTTAAGTTTGTTTTTCTTTTTTGTTTTGTTTAAGCGGTGCTTTCTGTTGTTGTATTTTGCAGCTCTTGAGCGCCGTTCTATGAGATGGGGTCGGGCAATATGTCAGATATTGAAATAATAATAAATAATAAAGATAAACAAAGTAATTAAGATCGATGGCAAATGTTGGAGTAATTTGTATGCTGTTAAGTCTAACACATTTCGTTGCATCATGTTAGCCCCACAAATAAATCTATGTACAGATACATATGTAACGTTAATTCAGCGGCGCGCTGTCACATGCATTCTAAATGAAATGTTAATAACCAAAAAGCCTCTTATGTTAACTACCCAAACATATATATATATTTATGAATATGTATAGGTATGTGTGTTTGTGAGTGTATGTTAGTGGTTAATTATGAGCACGTTTTAATGCATTATTCTCGTTAGTTTGTAGTTGCCGCCACCGAAAGCCACGCTGTTGTTGTTGTAGTTATTATTGTTGTTCTTGCAGTGCTGCTTGTTGTTAAAGATGTAGTTTTTGTTGTTGATGTTGTGGTTGTTATCGTTGGTGTTTGTTTGTTTGCTTTTGGCTTTTAGTTCATTACCTGCTGTGACTGCTGGTCCATGCCACCGCCGCCAGGTCCATTGGGTTTGCGATTCTGACGACGTGGACGTAACGGTCCTTGGCCGCCTTGGACTAAAAGCAGAAAAATAAAAACAATTTGTTTCTTAATCAACTCATTTTTTAACATTCGCCATGCGAATACTTACTGTACTCGCCACCATCACGACGCGGCGGTGGTCCGTTGCGTCGGAAGAAGCGTCGCTGGGGTCCACCAACGCCTCCACCACGACGCGGCTGTCCATCGCCGCCTCGCTGCAGACCATCAGAATTGGAATCATGAACGCCATGTTCAGCACTGCCATCGCCGCCACCTAGTACGCGACGTGTCTGGCGTGGATAATAGTTGTTGTAGCGACGTTGTCCGAGTCCACCGGGTGGTCCGCCGCCACGTGGAGCTCCGCGTGGGCCACCGGGTGGACCACCAGGGCCGCCACCGGGTCCACGACGATAGTTCTGACGTGGCTGGCGTGGACCCGACTGCATTTGCTGTTGTTGCTGGCCATCCAGCTGCTGTTGCTGCTGCTGTTGTGCAGGCGCCATTTCATCACCTTCGTTGTCACCCTCGCCAGGTTGCTTGCGGCGATTCTTCTTCATCCATGGGCGGAAGTTGCGACGTTTGTCAGCAGCAAACTGACTGCCGCGCACCGGCTCTCCAGATGGCCCAGTTACGTTAGCCGCCTCGTTGCCCTTCTCACCAATTACCACATCGAATTCAACAAGTTCACCATCGCCGACCGAGCGGACCGCCTTCTTCGGATTGTTGCGCGCAATGGCACTCTGGTGTACAAAGACGTCCTCTCTGGTGTCGTTGCGGTTGATGAAGCCGTAGCCGCTCTTCACGTTGAACCATTTCACGGTGCCGGTAACTTTAGTGGCTGCAAAAAATGTTTAATTTGTTAGGTTAGATAAGTAAACTAATTTTTCACAATTATTTAATCGATAAATAACACAATTACACTATAACATAAGATAACTTTGAAATATGTTAACACTAATTCTGATTTATTACGATAAAACCCATGAAATCATTTAATACCTATCAAAACAACGAAGAAATCCTGTCTGTTTCACATGCCGAAAAAGTTTCTATTGGGTGCCCAAACTACTGTGTATACAAATAAAGTTACCAAAACAATGAACACACACACACACATACACACGTATATTTAAACCCGTACAATTCACTCTCGTTTGGGGTAAGAGAGTGCGCGCACCGATAGACTGAGCGAGTGAGAGAGAGAAAAGAAAAGAGAACTGGCAGCCAGAACGACGGCTAACAAATTGGGTTGCCAGCATTTGTTCGGTCAGGCGTATGATGGGGCCGCGGGGGTGGGCTGTGCCACCGGCAAAAAGTAGAATTTTCATTTCGTTTCTTGCGCCGCTTTTCACATGCGGCTGCGGACGAGCCGGCGAATGTATGAATTTATATGTATGTATGTGCAGCATACAAAATGGCGGCGCGCGTATATTTTAAGACACGCACACACACACATAAACACGCACATTTTTCACATATAGCCCGCCGTTCCTTTCATTGCTATTTTGGTAGCACTTGCCATGTGTTTAGATGAATGAAAATGTAAATTAATTTGTAAGCTTACCAACTATTTCCTTTGGTGGCGGCGCGGGCTTGCCCTGCGCTTGCTGCCCCTCATCCTGCTGTTCTTCCTGGGCCAGCGGCTGCTGCTGTTCAATGGGTAGCTGCTGCTGTTTTTCCGAGTCTGCCATCTTTCTAGCTACGTTCGTTGTTCTTCTACCTCAAACGCACACACACCTACACACTCGAGCTTCCAAAAATAAAAGCAAGAATAAATAAAGTACCCTCTCCTGCTGTTTTGTACACGGAGTGCGGCAAAGCTTTCGTCTGCTGGTTGCCGCAACTTTGTTTTTTCTTGACTTGAGTTTTTGGCTGCTGATTTCAATTAATCGGTTGGTGTTGGTAAAAGTGCGGTTCGAGTTGTGGCACTCTTTCAACTACCACTTTGATGTTATTTTCGAGTGTGATGTTAAAACACTCACTCGCAGGGTTTTCTTGGCGATTCTATTTTGTTCGCAAGCACAGGAAGTGAAACATGGCAGCTATAGTAAGTGTTGTACAATTTTTCGATTGCTCTAGCACATAGTTGCTTTAGTAATATCGATAGGTGTCTAGTATTGTGTGACAGCACGAAATGGGGTGTTTTTATGTTTTTACGAACTGGTCTTTAATTAATAGTATATATCGCAGTTTTACCGATATACGTCGATAAATTCAATCAGATATTTATTAGGGTCGTTTCGGTCGGCTGTTTATTTCATAAAGCTCTTGTACAATTTGTTTATTGATTATAGGAGAAAACCAAAAACAATTGGAATGTGCATACACAAGTGAAATCGTGTTTGCGTATGTGAACTGCAGTCTATAGATATTTGGAGATATATTATGGCCGACAACAAACTGCAATAGTGTTTAAAACCATCAACACAGTACTTATTGGATAATTAGGTGATTTAAGCGAACAAAAAGCATAGTGCACTGCTAGTTTTATACAATATTTATCATATGCATTAAATAATAACGTTTTCATGTGTTTTAATTGTTTGCTGGTCAATTAACTGGAAAGTGGAGGTGACAACGGCGCTTTGCCGTCACATCGTATGATTCTCGCGCGCAATCTGATTGGTCGAGAAGCGCTTTTCACGTTCATAAGCGTGTGCATGTGTTTTATATGTGTGTGTGCGTGTGTTGGTGTGAGTGTGTGTTTATTTGTTTTTGTTTGTGACGGTGTTATTGCGCCGCTTTGAAATCGACATTTCATAAACAAAACAATGATTACAGCATAACAATACCCTCAAAACAAAAAATGGTCAAATAGGGTAGCATGAATTTCAGCGAATTATTTTTATTTTTATAAAACTAAAAAATTATAATCTTTAATGTTTGTTAATATAATCATACAGGGTATTTAGAAGTCAGTCATTGATAACCCTTTTTTTTATCAGTAGCCTCAACTGAAAATCAAACCAATAAACACGTCAGTTGAAAGAATTTAAATTATGGACATCGATCCAGCATCGTTGGACATGGAGTTCATGTCCAATACAATGGATATGTGGAAGGAGGAGGAAGATGCTTTGAGTATAATCAAAGAAATGATACCCTCCGATATGCTGAACACGTTTTTGAATGAAATGGACTTGGATTTAGATATGAACAATTCAACGCCGTTGCTGGAATGCGCTTTGGACATGCAACAGCTACCACAGCAATCGCCGCCACTGCGCGTACAACAACAACAACAACCTCCACAACAACAACAGCAACAACATGTGAAGAGCGAGCACACTTCTCCCGTGCACATCAAGGAGGAGCTACTCTCGCAGCAGAGCAATCTATTCGACCCGCCCTTATACAAAACGGATCCGCTAATTGCCTCTAATCCGAGCTTTAGTCCGCAGGCATTGCCGCAGCTGTTAAAGCCACAGCCCACTACAACCATTCACCATATGGACAACAGCCAGCGTTTGCCGCTGCCTTCGCCCGCGCCAACCATTTTGTATACGACAACATGCAACAATGATTTTGTTTATCAGCTACCGGAAACCTCGTCACCTCCACCATCTGCAGCAGCCCCACCGTCGACGTCTACTCCGGCTAAAGGTCCGCATTATGCCAGCAAGAAAATGCCAGCCATGTTGCCGGCGGTTAAGCAAAGTTTTCTTCTACAAGCGCCTGCTGTTAATCCGGCCACAACGCTGATGTACACCGGCAGCAATGCAACTATATTGGCAGCTGCCCCGATGCCCGTGCTGCTCGAGACAGTGGCAGCGACTGCTAGTCCAAAAGCAACTCCAAAGGCAACGCCTGTGGAGCTGGCCCCAGCACCTGCAGCCGCACCTGTACCATCCGTAACAGCAGCACCTGCTGCTAAGGTCGCCATTCAGCGCGTGCAGCCAAAGGTGAAGGAGGTTAAACGCTCGGCTCACAATGCGATTGAGCGACGTTATCGCACCTCTATAAACGACAAGATTATCGAGCTGAAAAATCTCGTTGTCGGCGATGCGGCGAAGCTGAACAAATCGGCTGTGCTACGCAAGTCCATTGACAAGATTCGCGATTTACAGAGACAGAACTATGACCTCAAATCAGAGCTACAGCGTCTGCAGCGTGAGCTGATGGCACGCGACGGCTCCAAGGTTAAGGATCTGCTGCAGCTGGGCAACAGCAACAGCAACACAATTGTGAATTCAACGTCAAAGAAACGTCGTCAGCAATCTACTTGCGATACGGATGCTGGTTTGACTCCGCCACGAAGCGATATATCCGATCCCTCGTCATCGCCGTTGCACTCGGATATTTCGCTGCCACCATCACCATACGGCGGCTCCACAGGTAGCTGCAGCAGCAAGGATGAGGTGCTGGTGGTGCCCAGCTCTATGCGAGGCATGGCCAATCATTCCCGGCTCGCGCTTTGCATGTTTATGTTTGCTGTCTTGGCAGTTAATCCCTTCAAAAAGCTCTTACAACACAGTCAGTTCGGCACGGACTCCAATGATTTTGATGATGACGATCTTGGTGGCGAGATGAGCCGCCAAAGGCGCAGTATTTTGGCTTACGATGGTAAAAGAAAAACTGGCTATAAATTAATAAATTATTGATAAGATGCAATATTTCAGATAACGCGGACTACATTGGATGGCATCCTAGCTCTTGGTTATGGCTTTTGAATTTGATTTTCATGTTCGGCTGCCTGGTCAAGGTCTTGGTGTACGGTGATCCCCAGCTGGATGTGCAAACGGATGCCTACTATCAGCACAAGAAACGGGCCGAAACTCACTTTGCCCAGGGCCAACATGCGCAGGCCTATACCGGTTACCTGAACTGCTTGCACATGTATGGACTGAATTTGCCGACGTCTCGACTGGAATGTCACCTACATACTCTCTGGCAGTTTCTGCGTTTTCTATTTCATCGACTCTGGTTGGGTCGTGTGCTCTCCCGTCGTTCTGGCGGACTCTTTTGCAATGCAACGACTCGCAAGCGTGCCTTGTCCTCTGCACGGGAACTAGCTTTACTCTTCAATCGTTTGAACCAACTTCATTTGACGGGCGATCGTAGCAATGATCGTAATGGCGTTATGCTTGCTCTCTGCGCCAGCAACATGGCTGAGGTGGCGCATAATTTGCTAACTCCACGCGAGACCATTTGCATTCATGTAATGACAGCGCTGAGGATGAAGCGAAGTGCACCCAAGTGGTTGCAGCAGCTCTGCGCCAGGTACTACATGAGTCGGGCACGTCAGGAATGTGGGCGTACACGTGCCGCCGAGCAAACGCAAGAGCTTCGCTGGGCATTTACCACTTATGGCTATGGATACTGCGGCGCGCATGTATTCAATTATGAGCTGATCGCTGGCGAACAGGATGGTTTCTTTACACGCTTGCGCAATCCATGCGATCCGGCTGCATATGCCATCAAGGTGAGCGAATGGGTTCCTTTCATATCTGTACTCACTGTTCTTACCTTACAGCAATATCGCGAGCATTTGCTGCACAAGGCAATTCAGTGCTTGGTGGGTGCCGGTTCACATCGACAAAACAAGACGGCACCGAACAATAATAACAACAACAATACTGGCAGCGAGGCGGAGCAATTGCAGCAGCAACACAGCGGCACCATTGTAAGCAATGTGCTGAAGTACACTTCTCTGCTGCGCGATACACTATGGGCCGACGAGGATGAACGTGACACAAATGTAGTCTGGTGGGCTAATGTCCTGGAAATTGCTGTTCACTGGCTTTTGGGAGAGGACACACAGGCAGAGAAGTTGTACGACAGCATTAAGCAGCTGCCAACTGAGCTGCAGCACTGCAGCGACAATGATCATCTGCCCAAAGCTTTGCATGCGGTGCTACGCGCCAAGATGATACTGATCATGTATGTGTTACTTTTTAAATAATTATACTGTCCATATTTAATATTACTTTCTTTGCAGGAACAACGGCAACACCTTGGATAAACGCCTCAAGCATTCAATCAACCGACTCTGCGATGAGTCCAGCGCACAACTGCAAGAATGCCTAACAGTTAATCGGATCACCAATGCCAAGGGCATTAAATTGGTAAGGTGGAGCACTGCCCCATTTTTTCATCATTCCGACATCTTTGGAGCTGTGACGGAGGTGCATTGTAGTCGCATTGTCTGTATCTTTTATTTTCTGCGGCAATACAACTGCAGTGCAAGCTCCGTGCAGTTCACTCGCAACGTCGGACGTTCTCGAACGATGATAATGGAAGCTGTCAAGATGATTAATGAACTATTTTTGATTTAGCTCTTCCAGTTGCTAACCTGTGATTGGTTGTTGGAGACGCGTACAGCTTTGTGGGAACTGGAACATATGGGTATGGATGATGATGGATACTATCAAGTCGCTGGTGATGTGCTCGAAAAGTTCCAAACAGATTTGAATTCACTGCGCAGCATTGTTGAAAATATACCGGTAAGCTGATGTAAATATATGTACCTAAGCACAGTCTAATTTCGTATTTATGCATTCACAGAACGCTCAGTCGCGTATTTATTTGTATGAGGCAGTTTGCCGCTTGATGGCCGGCGCATCCCCATGCCCCACGCAGCAGCTGCTAGACAGAAGTCTTCGTTCACGTAATGCGCAATCTTCTATTTTTTGCGGCAGCAAAGATCGACGACATCAGAACTTTGAGGGCGGCGAACGGGAGCGAGCAGCTGCCATGTATGTGGCCTGCAAGTATTTACCACCTGCCCTCTTAAGTTCACCGGGCGAGCGTGCTGGTCTCCTAGCTGAGGCAGCCAAAACGCTAGAAAAAGTGGGTGACAAGCGTAAACTCAAGGAATGCTATCAACTGATGAAGTCACTGGGTAGTGGAGGAGTGACCCTGAAGGCTTAACCTACTATTAGTTCAACTGAAAACTAAGCTAATCCCAAATGTTCACAAGGCAAAAAGTCAACCGTATAGATGAGCACACTGTATCGAACAAAGTTCCCCCAAGCATTGGCAGCACACAACAGATGTTTTACTGCACCCAGCAAGTGTCCGATAACATGATTGGGGTTTGCTATACAATGTCCACGCTTCTTACCTGCTATATAATTTCTGTTTAGTTAGTAATTACTTTTATTCACAATTTGTTTAAACGATATGGTTATTCACGATAATGGTTACCACACACATTTACACATATAAATATGAATATTTATTTAAATAAATATGTCATGCATGCAGTTAATTGGTCAAATTAGCTGGGCACATTAAATTGAACACCTTTAACATTGACATTGACTAGAGCTTGTTTTAAATGGAATTTATATATGTATCCTGATACTTTGTGACTGCATAAAGTCTTATAAGTAAAATTGAAAAATGAAAAATAATAAATTAAATTTATTATGTATTGTTCCATTCAATTAAATGAAATCGCGTCTGGTTTGAGTTAATTTTTCGCCTACTTTAAGCAAATATATTTATATATGAAATGGATTTTTCTTGGTTTGTTTTCTTTATTTTTGAAAATCTAAATTTTTTTAATATATACTTAAAATAAATAAATTTAACGTCATTCATTCAGGTTCTTACAACTTTTTCAGTTTTTATAAAAAAATTAACTTACGGAAACTTGTTTGACTTAAGCTATACCACAAACATATATAAAAAAATATGTTTATTTTTTAACTTTAAATTAATTACTATACATAATAATTTCACTATTAATATTTATATTTAAAAAATAAATGTGTTTTGCTTTTTAAGCATTCAAACTACTTAACTAATCTTTATCCAGGGTTTCCACATCATTTAGAGCTTGCTTCATACATTTTTGTAATCCATATCTAAATGGTTTCTAAATATTTGATAGGCAATTATTTTATAACAAGCGGGAACTATCCATTATGGATATGTAATTAAGCCTTCATTGGCTAGCTTTCTGATGACTATATAAAGCTATAGCTTAGTTTTTTAAATAACACAGAACTTGATCTCAACATGTTGGTGGAACCAAATTATTGGTCCACCGTTCTAAGTTTCCTCGGTGAGTTTTGCTTCTTCTGCTTTGAGCAAGTTTAGTTATGAGAAATTATTCAATGTAGCACACCAATATTTGATGGATTCGCATGCTACTTGCGTATTGTGGCACTCTTCGTTTGATATACAACTGAGGACCACTGAGCCACTGGCTTTGCTCATTTTGGAACATAAGAAATGGTTCATCCCAGGGCAAGATAATGACTTTTATAACTATGAACCAAAACGTTTCGATTTCAAAGAGCATAATTTGCCTTATAATGATTGGATCCTGCGGGTAGCTGTGGCCATCGAGCAGACGCATTGCGAGGTAAGTTTTTCAGAGCCAATATAAGCCTGGAATTGTTGGCTTCGTATGGCGATCGGGAGTACACAGCGAGCAAGCAGTGCCAAGCCAATCCAATTTCAACAATTGCGAATTTATAGTTTCAATTAACTGAAAAAATCAAAAACATTAAATCTCAGTTAATTTAAAAAAAGTTATAGGTTAGTTAATACAACCTGGTTTTGTGTTGCTTTCGAAATTGATAGCTCCAGCGTCAACATCAGCTGCCCACGGGCTCCAATCGATGCCTGTTGGCGCATCTCCTCTTGTAAGGCGCTTAGAAAACTATTCCATTCCTCTAGCTTCCAGTGTTTGCCCAGCTTCAAGTGCTGCAGCTTTGTGCATTTGGCAATTATGTCCACCAGCTGCATCATGCTAGCGGGCGGTTCACTACACTGCAAGGCCAAACACTCAAGTTGTTGCAATTTGCTTAGGCGTAAGAGTGTTGTACTTGGCCACATATGGCAGGTGAGTGCTTTGAGACTGTGAAGCATTACTATATGCTCTGCTTGATCCGGATTGACTTTCGTTAGCTGAAGCTGCTCTAAGCGGTTCGCATAACGATTTGCCAACGATCGAAATAGCTGACTATTCACGCGTATAGCCAAACGCCAAAGCAAGCGAAGAGATCTTAGTCTAGGAAAGTCACCCACATCCTCAAGCGTGCCTTCAAAGTTCTCAAGCGACAGATGCTCCAGCAGCGGGCAGTGTGCTGCTAAGGGCGGCAACTGTCGCCGCGAAACGAAACGTAGCGAAAGTCGGCGCAATCCTGACAAAGCCTTAAACTGTTTTATAATATCCTCATCTGTCAACTCAGTGTCGAATCCATCAATATGTAAAGCCTCCAGTTCATTGAAATTATGTAGCTGTAGAACTGTGGAATATTGGAAAAATATATATAGATTCAAAACTATTTAATTAAACTCTGATGCTTAGATCATTCATTTGCTGAAATACAGTGAGGAATAATTATACTTTGTTTTTTATTAAATTCAATTCATATTCGGTAGTTTATATGCAAGTTAAGGAGCGTTTTCTTTTCCTGTTCTCTAGGATTCTAAGTAATTTATAGTTTTAAAGAAAAAGGTAACTTGTAATTTATGATCTATGATCTATGGTCTATAATCTACAATCTTTAATCTATGATCTATGATCTACTTTTTAGGTCTCTCAGTAAATGAAATAATATTGTTATTTATTTAAATTCAAATTAGGTTTTCTTAAGTGCATTTCGGAAAAAAAAATTTTTTCATTATTCTCACCATCAGCTGCCTTCGCATCGATCAGGCTTAGACTATGCAGATTCTTCCGTTCAAGCACTTGTAAAATATTTAGATCCCCTTCCGCCGGCGGTTTTAGATCGGAGTGCGCGAATATCAGATGCAAATGCCGTAAATTCTTGCAGTGCGTGTTCAGGAGGCACATGAACGGCTGAGTGATATTATTGTCCCAGCGTCCATGACGCAGCTCGCACTCAAGGACACAATCGCCGCATAATTTCAAAAGATAGTCCCAATCGGAAAGGCATTTCAACATACGCATATTTATTTTAACAAAACGACGAGGCGCATCGCGTGCGAAAACTTCGCAGAATTGCGAATGTGCTCGGGCCAGATTTAATTTGTCTTCGAGTGCAGTTAGATACGAAAATATATGGACATAGCAGTCATAATTTAAATCCAATAAACTTGTCTTAATTCGCTGCGGCTTGCTGCCAAGGAATGCCAACGGGCAAGCGAGTCCAAACTTTTGCATTGTTTACATTCGGTTGTTAGGGTGACGCACAGTATTTGATTTATGGCCGAGCAGTGTGACCAGCACAATGCAAAATAGATTTGGCTAATAAATTTAAAACTATTCTACACTGGTTTCAATAAAAAAACACAAAATTGTTTGATTAATGTAATTTTCAATTTATTAAATATTATTGTTTAATAATTAATTAATGAATTTTTTTTATTGCAATTACAGAGCTTTATAACATTTCAGGAGCATATACCGCAATTTATTCGTAATTTTTATCATGCCAGCACTTATTCCAATTGGCGCTCAATTCAAAATCATTTTATTTTTGTGTACACTGATGAATTGCTAGAAAACCCTATGGAATCTGATAGTTATCTGGAAGGCTATATATTTCGAGGTAAGCTACTTAATTTTTTCTGGTTTTCCTGCAATATTGTTTTTTTCTGTTTACAGATCAACCGAACATTCTTTTGGTCAACGCTCAGTTTCGTAATTCGAGCGTATTTGAAATTAAAACCAATCGCTTTGTTGGTTCCCGATTTGAAAATAAGCCACATTTTTACACGCTGCAGATTTATGATGCCAAATCCGAACAGGTCATATGGAACAGTAATACTGACTTATCAAGTAAAATGAGAAATTTACAAGGACGCGAAGTCGTGTTGGGCCTTTTTAATTATGAACCATTAATGCTGTTAAGCTATGTGCGTAAATATAATTATTACTTTCTTTCCTAGCTGTATATATATGTTTCATTTGTCAGACAAAGCAACCAGCAATGTTCGATCGCGCTTTCAATACCACAGAGGCACGTGCAGATGGCACCGAAGTTCGTGTTATCCTCACTTTCTGCGAACTTTACAATTGCACCCTGCAAATAGATACAAGTTCGTATTTAAAATGATCGTAATCTTCATTTCAGAAAATCATGAATAATAACAAATTAAAAACTTATTAACTTATTAACAGGTGAAACATCAGAGTGGGGCGACCTCTATTCAAATGCTACTGGCGTCGGACTGATGGGAATGGTATTGGACAGAAGAATTGATTACGCCGTAGGCGGTCTGCTCACGTGGTACGAAGCTTATAAGCAGCTGGATATAACAAGTTTTCTAGGAAGTTCCGGCATCACATGTTTAGTGCCAGCTCCGCGTAGGATCATTAACTGGGCTTTGCCACTACAACCATTCCAGGCCAAATTGTGGTTATGTGTAATCCTTTGCCTTACCTTGGAGTGCCTGGCTCTTGCTGGCACGCATCACTTCGAATTTTTAGCTTCCGAGCCGCGTTGGCGAAAGAGTCTGCGTTTTGCTTACGTCAGTACGCTTAAGCTATTTGTGAACCAGGGCACACATTATGTGGCTACATCGTATGCCCTTCGCATGGTCCTGCTGGCGAGCTATATGGTCGACATAATCCTGACCACTGTTTATAGTGGAGGACTGGCATCCATACTGACGCTGCCGAAACTCGAGGAAGCTGCTGATTCGCGGCAACGTCTCTACGAACACAAGCTAATGTGGACAGGAACATCTTATGCCTGGATATCCACCATTGAGGTCGGCAATGATGATGTAAGTTAGGGTGTGGTTTTTGCTCTGTAAATTTACCTTTAAACATTTTCAGCCCGTTTTATTGGGAATCGTGGATCATTATCGCGTAAATGATGCAGCGACTATGGCTGCTAAGTCCCGCACTGAACAGATGGGCTTTGTGGTAGAGCGAATGCTTTTTGGTCACGTTGCCAACTCCGAAATGATTCCTGATAATGCATTACCACGACTCAAATTAATGGTAGATGATCTTTACTTTGCCTACACAAATGCGTACGTGCCGCGCTTATGGCCATTCATTGGTATCCACAATGATCTCACACTCGCCTGGCATTCGTCGGGGTTTGACAAGTACTGGGAATGGAAAATCGTGGCAGACTATATGAATGCCCATCGACAGAATCGCATTGTGGCCTCGAAAAGACTCAACCTTGATATTGGACCCGTTAAACTGGGAATAGACAATTGTATCGGACTGCTCCTGTTGTGGTGCTTTGGCATGACATGTAGTTTGCTGGCATTTGTGCTCGAGTTGTGGTGGATTTATTTTAAAAACTAATTTATTTATTATGCTTATAGCTGAAATAAACGTTGATATTATAGTAAATTAAGTTTAGCTTTGTAGCAGCAACACCTGATCGGTGACTCGCGTTATTAGTGCATCCAATTCATTATTCGGTAGTTGCTTCCAGAGCTCATGCAATGTGCGATGGGCCAATTGGACAGGAGTGCCAGCAACTTCTGTCAGATGAGTGCGCAGCGTCAAAAAGATGACAACGTCCGGCGTAATGGGACTATATGTGTCGCAAATGGTATGCAAAGCACGTGCCGCATTCGTTGGTATCTGTGGTTGAAAACCGGAAAGGCTTTAGAACATAAAAGAAGGTAACTTTTTAAGCAACTACTCACATCATTTAGATTGACGATAAGAAAGACGTTGCCGTGTTGGATTTTCTTTTTATACTGTTCAATGGGAAAGCCGTAGTCGTCGCCAGTCTGCGTTTCAAAATCATTCAAGGTCATTTTTACCAGTTCTTGTTCATCTATTGAAAAGAAGGACTATGTAAATCAACCGAATGGACTAAACTTCTAGTAGACATTCACTTACCAAAACATTTCGACGTTTCCAGAGCAATATCGTTAACCAGTTTTTGCATTTCAGACTCGTTGCTTTGATTCGTGTACAAAAATAAGAACACATTGGGAGACTTACTCTTCTTGTTTAGCATATCTTCAATGTTGCACCTCAGCGCTTTCCACACATCCGTCGACTGCGAAGGCGCACGTTTTTTCAGTTCCTCGAACGTGCAGGTTTTCACTTGTGGCTCCGACTTATAATATTGCGAGTAGACAATGAGCGGCAATATGATAATAATAGAATATTTCAGTAATTTAGAAAATGTATTTGTTCTGGTTTTTCCAACGTTACACTGCGGCTGCGCAGCTTGTGGTACTGTGTCTGGTCGTCGGAGTGGAACCGTCTCAGGTCGTCGCTGTGCACCCACCTCTAGTGGGCGTTGCGGGCCTGTTTCTTGGACTTTTTGCGGTCTTGTCTCTTCTGCAGCTTGTGTATATGTTTGATTCTGTGCTTTTGATTGCGAGCAGCGTTGCTGACCGTTTGAATCGTCTTCACTTGTATCCGTACCCTCGCCCTCTGCGTTAGCCGGCTCATTTTTCGATTCCTCTAATTCGTTTTCATCGTCACTATCATTGGTCTTTTCACCGTATTTATTAGGACACGAATTCTGATTTAACACATTTTTTGTAGGCGATTTGGAGTCAATAGATTCCCGCCTTTCGTGTAAAGGACGTCTGCTTGTCATTTTAATCACTTGTAATATAATATCCTACGTGACCCAACTCAATATGATATCAATTGTTTTCCGGCAACTGAAATTATTTTTGCTTCTTTAAGCATATGTGTAAGTTAACATAATGTTAAGCTGTTAACTTTAACGATAACATAACAAAACTTTGGCATGCTGTAAAATTTCTGTTCAGTGTTTAACAACACTATAATAGTATTATTTTAAAATTAATAACATTAAGCAAATTATCAATATTTATGAAATCGCTAGGTGGGAAATAATAGTCTTTCACAGACTAATTTCTATATTTATTATTATCTTAAAAACCGAGACCACAGAATTTACCAAATAAATATTTACATTATCTACATACATATTTTGTTAAAAATAATTAAATTGAAATTAGTCTATACATAAGAAAATTGTGCAGTATTTCACTCTGTGACCGACGGAACTGTAGTTAACGTTAAACGTCGGAGTCGACCCAGCACAAAAATTTCATCAATTGCCCTTTTGGCATAGAACTTTTGATCTTCGGTGAGTTTGCGGTATTCCAAAGACCATGTCTGTGCATATATTGCCGACTCCTCTGCCCCACTCACTTCATGAGATACGAAAACTTCAGAAAGACGTGAGCTTGAGCTTAAATTGCTTCTCCCACCAACATTTAGTGGATCATCATTACTTTTAGCTGGCTGGACGAGTGCTCCAGTTTCAACGCAACCGTTATTCGGCTCACTTCCAACACCAGCTCCTCGGAGAGCCATAAATGCAGCAACATCCGTTGACGTAGGTTTCATGTCCAACTCATCAATCATTGTCTGTGCGTCAGAACTCTCTTCGTTGTCCACTCTAAGTTCGGACTCAGCCTCCAGTAAAATATCTTCCACTGACATTTCACCTTCATCTTTAAACCATTCCTTTGAGTTGCTTGCGTCTGAATATCCATTACAATACGTCTGCTTCTTTAAGTACTGCAAATGACACTTATGGCGCCGCAAATTTGTGGTTGATTTATGAGTAAACGACATAAGATTTTTACATCCAATACAATACAAGACGTGTTCCAATATTTTGCCGTCCTCTTTTTCAATCTTTCGATACACACGCCAAACAGTGCTGCGCGTGCTTTTATCATTTGTGGCTAGCCTATAGATTCCATTTTCAATTTTATCACGTATATCTTCGTGCTTGGCGGCCATAAGTAACGTTCTTGTTTTGTGATTTGGACAAAATTTGTTATTGTTTCTACTAAATGGCTTGTCCACATAGGGATGACAACTTTCTTATGCATATAACTATGCAACTATCGATAGCTTGGAGCTACATTATATATTTATGATTCCTATTAATTTTAACACCTTACGAGTTTTAATAAAACCATTTTATCTGCAACACAAACAGATTGATGAGAATATATATTTTATATTTTTAATTCTAAAATACCCAAAATATTGGCAATACAGATACAGATACTATATACCTGAACTATGTGGCAACGCTGTAAAAACACATTGCGCCGGCAAATTTTTGTTTTTAATTTGTTAATTTGTTAATCATAATTCAATTTTTCATATTCAATGGCTGCTTCTTGCTTTGACTTTTTGGGCTTTCAAGTAAGTGATTGCACATACACAAAAACCAAAGCAAAATCCATTCAAGAAATGTATGCAATTGAAAATAGGAGGCTCTAAAGAAGATGCGCGATGTGGATGATAAAATAATTTACGCTCTTAATGCTCTGCCCACGGAATCATTCAAGGGTCAAGTGAATAGTGAGAGCACATGCAGGGACTTGTACTCTAAACTGCAGCAATCACATCTCACACGGGTAAATACATAACAGCCACTGATTTTTCCCTCAACTCTAATACTCTTTGATTCCTCAACGCGGGTAGCAATCAAACATACGCAATTGCATAACCTTATCAGCGACAACATTGAAGCATCTACGCGAGCAAAGGGAGGCAAACCCCAATGATGTGGACACCGATAGCAAATTCAAGGCAGAGCAACGCAAGGTAAATCATTTTGATCAATTAATTATTTTGCCAGACTAAATGTCTTGTTATTTGACAGCTGAGAGTGTTGCAAGCGGAGCTTAATGTAGAAGATATTATTAAGGAACGGACTTACAAGGCATTTAATGAACGTTGCAGAAATTATTTTCATGCTGGCCAATGAATATTATGTTTTCTGCAATATTATATGACATATAAAGTTGTCGTCAGCATACAATGAAGGCAGTACATTAAATTTTGTAGTTGTAAGTAAAATTTTAAGTAATATGCCTACATCAATTACTGCCTAGCAATTTTTACCAATGGATGCTGTTTACAAGCATCAGTGTGTATCTTTATATTGAAAATAAAAACATAATTCAAATACAAATTTTATTATTTTCCATCTGGCAGGTTGTATATCTTATGCATATCCTTAATAGGTAATCCTTTTGCCTGTGCCAAGGCACCAAGAACTGTTTGAGTGGCATCTTTCAGATTGTTGTATTCGTGCAAAAGTTTCATATGTCTCTGTTTCTGTTGTTGCAAAAAGGCTTCACTGTTTGTTTGTTGATTTTTGGAATTCATTGTTGGCGCACCTTTTTCAATAATGGCTTGTTGATATCGATATCGAGACTTACTAAGTTGCACAATCAGCTGTAGTGCAATATATTTAGTCTGGCAACCTTATACGCCCAACTAAAAACGTGTGGCGTATCGTGACAAAAATTTGCATTTGTGTTTTGTACTATAAATAGACGTTTCAAATTGGCAGTAATACAGGTAAAGTGATAACAAATTGTGCTGTAACTTAAAGTCAGTTTGTAAGGACTTTAATAAAATGTAATCTACAGCAAATTGTGCGAAAGTAAGCAGCATTTGCTGACGCTGACCTAAGCTCATCGCACACTCCCATATACACATATACGCACACGTTAAAACGCACCTACACATATACATATATGCATGTTCGTATGGATTAATAATTAGAATGTGAAAGTGTTTGTTGCTGTGCAAATAGAAAAGTACTTATAAACTGCAAATAAAATATTAAATGGCCACTGTTAGTAGCACCAATTCATTGCAATATTTCAAGCTCACGCTTAACCCCCAAACGAACTGCGAATACTGGCAACCCTGAATGAAGTAAAAAAGTTACAAGTAAAAGTAAAATGGGACAGTAGTCGACTTCACTATACTCTATAATTAAGGTCAATTCATATGTATACGCGTGCATAATATGAGCATATGCCAATCGTCCAAGGGTTTGAATTGAATAATAACATGCGTGATGCATATGATTCCTACACATTTAAACTTGTGTATGCAAGTTTGCCAATAAACAAAAAAAGTCATCTATGTAGGCACTGATTAGGATTTGTGTGTAAGTCTAAATACGTAATCGCAACTCCACAGAACTTAAATAAAAATTGTCAACTGTTAATATTAACAAAATTTTCAAAAATCACGGATATAAATATATAGATATATAAATATATTATTTTCAGTCTTTTACAGAACTTATAGCAACTGGCATAAAATGTCCACGACACACAAACAGCGGTATAAAAATGTCGCTCTGGACTCAACTGAGATGCGCCGTAGACGCGAAGAGGTTGGGATACAGTTGCGTAAAACGAAACGCGAACAACAGCTCTCAAAGCGTCGTAATGTTGTGCTGGACTCAACGCCGTCGACTACAACGAGCGGCGGCATCGGCAGCAGCAGCGGAAGTGGCGATGTGCAGCTGCACAGCGGTGACATGCATATGGCCGACAGTAGCGGACAGGGTGTGGGTCTGGGTTTGGCCGTGGGCGGAGTGCAACAGCATGGAGCCGGTCAGCAGGAGGCGTCTAGCTTGCAGCCCATCATTGATGCGGAGATGATTCAAATGCTCTATAGCGATAAAGAGAGTGACCAGCTGGAAGCAACACAAAAGTTTCGCAAGCTACTGTCCCGTGATCCCAATCCCCCAATAGAGGACGTCATAGAGAAGAACATTGTGCCACAATTTGTGAGTTTTTTGCGCAACAACTCAAATGCAACGCTTCAATTTGAGGCGGCTTGGACATTGACGAACATTGCATCGGGTACTTCGCACCAAACAAAGATTGTAATTGAGGCCGGCGCAGTGCCCGTATTCATCGACCTGTTGTCCAGCCCCCACCACGATGTGCAGGAGCAGGCTGTGTGGGCGTTGGGTAACATAGCTGGTGATTCACCGACGTGCCGAGATCATTTGCTTACATCTGGTATTTTATTGCCACTATTACAGTATGTAATCAAGTTCAATTGCTTAGCTTTTTATTTAATACGCTTACTTTCTTGTTTGTGAATAGTGTGCTGAGCACTTCGGATCGCATTACCATGGTGCGGAATGCCGTTTGGACGCTGTCTAATTTATGCCGTGGTAAAAATCCTCCGGCGGATTTTACTAAAATTGTGCATGGTCTACCCATACTAGCGCGCTTACTGGACTACACTGACGCGGATGTGCTCAGCGATACGTGCTGGGCCATTAGCTATCTATCGGATGGGCCAAATGACAAAATTCAGGCCGTGATTGATGCAGGAGTTTGTCGGCGTCTCGTCGACCTGCTTCTGTATGTAAAACTAATATATAATGGTGTTTAGAGGAATCTGGTAACTAAATTTGTATACTTTTAGGCATCCGCAACAGAACGTGAGCACGGCGGCACTTCGAGCTGTTGGCAATATTGTCACCGGCGATGATCAGCAAACCCAAGTGATATTGAGCTACAATGCTTTACCGTGCATCAGCCTTTTACTATGCTCAACGGCTGAAACAATTAAGAAGGAATCGTGCTGGACCATTTCCAACATCGCGGCTGGCAATCGGGAGCAAATACAAGCAATTATCAATGCCAACATATTCCCTCAACTTATGACTATAATGCAAACGGCTGACTTTAAAACTCGTAAAGAAGCGGCCTGGGCAATAACAAATGCCACCAGTAGTGGCACTTCGGAGCAGATTAATTATTTAGTACAGGTCGGATGTGTGCCGCCAATGTGCGACTTTCTCACTGTAGTCGATTCGGATATTGTCCAGGTAGCTTTGAATGCGCTTGAAAATATTCTGAAAGCAGGAGAAAAGTATCAAGTGCGACCAAATCCCTACGCAATAACCATTGAGGAGTGTGGCGGTAAGTGAAATTGATTTTATAGATGTAATCAGAATAATGGCTAATTTTGAAACGTTTAACAGGTCTGGATAAAATAGAATATCTGCAGGCTCACGAAAATCGCGATATTTATCATAAATCATTCTACATTATTGAACAATACTTTGGCAACGAAGAAGAGGATACTCGTGTTGCACCCGTGGCTGGCAGTCAACAGTATGAGTTCAATCCGCACAATCTGCCCGATAACGGATTCAATTTCTAGCATGACAAAAACAAACACTGCAAACTTAACCATTAACAAATGGTAATCTCTTAGAAGAATCATGAAAATAGCACCAAAATGTGTGTAGAAAGGGCATAGAAAATACGACATGCACTGACAACACCGCAGTGTGCAGTCATTAGCATTTAAGTCATAAAAGCCCGACATTTGATTTACGTTTAATTTGTTTGTTATATACTCTAATTATCATTATTATTTGCGAAAGCGTTCCAAAAATTCGATGTGTGCATACGGTCTAGGACCACAACACCTGCATTTTACTCCAAAAACGTTACAACCACAACAGATATAAATGTATATTGTAAAATATACATTATGGATGTATGTAAATGCGTCTATGGTCATATATCATACGTAATGATCGATTTTAGCTAGCTACATTAATGAATCCCTATATTTTTTTGTATATGCGATGCTTTCCTAATGACTGTAAATATTTTCATTAAATATCTAAGTACATCTTTACGTATATATCTCCCATACTGAGTTCGAAGCCGGCTTTGGTGTTGTTATTAATACATATTTTCTTATGTATACTCTACAATATATATTTATAACGAATAACTTGAAAAGTTTTGATTTTGTTAAAATGAAAAGGAAAATTGCAAACCGTAATGTACGTTCATACATGATTTAAATGTTTTTATTTAATTTAAATTGTCAATAAAGAATTAGACCAGAACGAATATAAACGCGTTATTTATTCATTTAGTTAATTTTAGTCATTTCTAAGGCACTATCTGGAGTTTTGAAAATAAGATCAACCAACTAACTCACAATATACAAAGAATTGCGAATATGTAAAACAAACTAAGAAATAAATAAAAATAACTTACAAACACGTACAATGTCATGAATTCCCACATATCCTTGAAAGTTTCAATATTTAATGAATTAAAGAATATATATATTTTTAAAATATTAAAATACCACACAAAAATTACATACTAAAAAAAAGTACGGAATAAATATTAATAATAGATGTATCATCGGTGTGATATCGTTATCGATTGTAAACTGTTTTTTCTTTTTGTGATAAAATCCGCGGTTATTTCAGCTGATGAATCAGTATTCAGTTTGGTTTCAACATGTCGCGAAATGGGTCTGGCGCCGCGGATGATCAAAGCTTTGCTATAATAAGCAGATGGATGCATAAAACTCTAATCGATTGGCAAAACGTTCTAAGACTAAATGGCAAAGATGTTTTTATCTGTGAGGAGTACATTGATTTCACAACTAATGAAGATCACTTTGAAAAATATGTGTTATTGCTGAGTAAATATTGTCCGAATTTGACGCATGTTCGTTTATTGTATTCTGGAGAAAGCAGCGACGCCAAATTAGAATTTGGAATACTGAAAGCTCTTGTGCAGTTGCCGAATCTGAAATGTTTAAGTCTCTTTGATGTACCCAAAACTGAAAGTGAGTTCAAGTGATATTTACAATGATGTTATATTGTACTTTTCGGGTATCTTTTAACGACCATCATAAATCGGTAAGGGGGTCTTTTTACGTTATCAATTTGTCGCACCTCTTGAAGTTACAATTCCCCTAAAAATCCATAAAATTGTGTGTTTACTAATGAATAAATATTTATTCTCTAGTTGCTTCCCTAAGTTCAGACTTCAAACAACTGACAACCTTAAAATTTGTTGGAATCGCTGAAAATGTGACGGCCAGCGATTTTGCTAACGTATTTGGTTCTATGAAGAATTTACAAAATGTTATTTACGAGTATAAATCCTTTAGGGCTAATCAAATTGTTGCCAGTTTGCCAAATGCAATCAATTTGAAATCCTTAACTTTGTATTATGCACCGGAAAGTGAAAGTAAGTTTAAAAGTAGAATTAAATGGTTATTTTTAAATAATATTTAATAATTAATTTTGTTGTAGTAAAAGAGTTGAGAAATTGTAATCAACTGGAAGTGCTTCACCTCTATATTGTTGATGAAAAACTTGCTCCTGACGATTTCTTAGATATATTTAACGAAAAGCGTCAGCTCCACACATTATCTATCTGCCTAATCAATGAAAAACTTTGCGTGCAGCTCTCTAAACTAGATACGTATTGTCCAAGACTAACTTATCTGACTATTAATCAGCCGTTAAAAAATCTTGGAGATTTTGAAAATTTAAAATATATTAGATATGATGCAAACGGCGAGTCGAGCTTCTTTGATACGATAAAATGGATTGAAAACTTATCGATAAAATATGCCGATCGATTGGAAGTTTTTGATATAAGCTCTGCTCCAAATCATACGCATACGATCGAAATAGCCAAGTTGAAATGTCTTAAGGCATTTTTGTGTGCGAATTGGTCGAGTGATATGTACGACAGTTTAAGCCAATTGGAAAATCTTCAGCTATTCTCTATGCAAGGTCAGTCTGATAATTCGAATCATAGTAATGCACTGATTAGTGCAATACTTCATTGGACAAATTTAAAATATTTACGTTTACCCTTTGATAAGGAAATATTTGAGCGACTTATTCTAAATTTACCTGATGTACTATTTAGACGAGGCTTTCAAACAGATTCTCCATTTATTTTGTCGATGGCTAACCAAAATATTGTAGCTGAAATCGAAGATCAGGTAATATATAGATATAAAAGTGTACTATGACAATTCATATCACAATTATATAATATTTTTAGCTAAAGAAGCAACCTCACGGTAATTTGCTGCAACTGGATTGGCATGGCCAAATTTTTGCTGCTAAACTTAAGAATTTAATCGCTTCTTTATCGCCTTCGGAAACAAGGACAGAGCAGGAACAAATTTATAAATTTCCTGGCAAAGCGGCTGGGGATCCTTTTGACCCAGAGGATAGCTGGTTGTCGAGTATGAATTATAAGTTGGCATTAAAATCATGCTCCAACAGATTTAATCTCGAGAACGATGAGGAGCTAATAAATAGATGTCGCCATTTTGCCATAACCAATGCGGAATATGACATAAACAATATGAAATCCGCTTTTAATTTTAAATATGATGATATAGATAAGCAGAATATATATCCAGATACAGAATAATACTCCAAATATATGGTTAAATATAATTAAAATGTAAATGATTTGTTTCAGACTTTGCACTGAAATTTGAACTGCTTTAAAAAGCGCGTTATCGAAATATTGTGCTGATAGCCGATTTGATGTTTGATATCGAAACTATCGACGACAACTATTCAACCAGGGTTGCTTAATTGGGCGCCATTTTCAAAATGTTCCGCTTTTACAGTATCTATAGTGTTTTTATTTTATTACGTTTTAATATATCTAAATTAAATTAAACATCAATTTGAATATGTTATTAATTATTTATCAAGCTAATCGACTTCAACTGCGCTTTACGAACCGCACTTTGTACGGCTTGGGTGTAAGTGTAATCCCAGGTTGCAAGATCAGCGATGGCGTTTCACCCTCGGGCAGGACAACGCGAAACTGCTGCACAATCCTTACAAGAAAGGAAAAGATGCAGGCGCGAGCCAAGGCATCACCTAGACAACGGCGTCTACCCAGTCCGAAAGGCATAAAATACTCGTCCTTGCAGCACTTGCCAGCTGTATCTATAAAGCGCTCCGGTCGGAACTCATGTGGGTCACTCCAGTGCTGCTCATCCAGGTGCACCGAACGCAAACTAATGAGTATCGTGGTATTCTTGGGTATGTCGAAGCCACCCAGCTTGGTCGGCCAGAGTGCACGACGCGGACCCGTTATGGGAGTTATGTGAAAGAAGCGCTGCACCTCCATGATGAATGCTTCCATATAGTAGAAGGATTCCCGCCGGCTGAGATGCGGAAAGGCATCCGTCTCGCTGTCAGCAGACTCCAAATTGGCAGCCACCTCATCGTACAGCTTTGCCTGCAGATCTTTGCGCATGGCCAGCACCATCAAAGCCAAGTTGATCGTATTGCTGGTTGTCTGTGAGCCGGCAATAAAAAAGTCAAGTATGGTCATCACCAGCTGCGTCTCGTTGAAGCTATCTGTGTCCTGTCGTTGGCTGTTCATCTCCTGCAGGTAGGCAAAGATGAGATCGCTCTCGGGTAGCTGATCACCACGCTTCTTGCACTCCTCTATTCGTTGCCTGTGCTCCTTGATGGATTCCATGAAGAAGCCATGCAGCTCTGTATTCAGCTGTCGGATCAGGTTGTAGCCCGTGTAGTTCGGTGCCACATGCCGCAGCCAGGGAAACTGCGCCAATAAGCCACCGCAGATATCGAATAGCTTTGAGCGACGATTCATCAGATCTAGCAGACGTCGCAATGTACCATCCTCGTCTCTGCTGATTCTCTCGCCTGCAATCAAGCACCAGAGGACATTGAGCACGCTTTGAGCCAACCAGTTGACTGGCTCTATGGGCGCTGCCTCAGTCCGTCCGAGCTGCTGCATCAGCTCCTCTGCCTCGTGCTCTATTTGCTGCTCCATTTGGCTGCGTCCATACCCTACATGACGCATCTGTTTCATGGCAAAGTTGCGATGCTCGTACCACAGCTGCCCATCTGTGCATGTGATGCCCTTGCGTGTGCCCATGGTGCGCAAGCGCAAAAAGAAGTTGTCCGGTCTGCCCTCGAACACCTCCTGCAGCTGCACCTCTCGCACCAGCTCATGTCCCAGCGCCACGACCACATAGTCCTGGCCTAACTTCAGTCCGATAAGCTGGCTCTGATAGCGCTTCGCCCACTGATCAAATAATATGTGCTGCCCACCAGCTGCTCGTGCCTCCTTACGGAACTGCAGCGTATTGCCCAACCAGGGCAAGAAACCAGGACCTACAAGAAATTAGAATTTATTCAGAATTCTATCCAGCAGGTCTAAAAAATGAGAATAGGTTTATTTATAGCACAACCATCTTTTAAAGCTAATATCAATTCTCTTCCTAGCTCAATTATTCTCTTTTTTTGCTTTCATTTTTCGCGTGCCTATAGCATTAAGCTAAGAGTGAAAGAGAGCTTAGGACTATAGTGATGGGAGAGCGCTTAGTGATGGAAAAGCAAATAGTGCAAGCGCCCATTGTTATTCTGTTTTCGTGTTAGTTTCGTGACTCTCAAACTCAGCCTCTCTTATACACATCGGCATCCTAGGCGAATTTATATGTACATACATTTAGATATTCATACGCTAACTCGTTTAAAGTTCATTTCTAAGAAAAAATGAAATATTAATTGTCTTAATTGCTAAAGCAATAGTTTATCGAATGATTACTTAACTTCGTGAGCAACACAAACAATTGATAATTCGATTTCGAATTCGCTTGGCTTTATCTTAATCTTATCGTAAAACTATTTGGCACTGCCGTAAATCTGGCAATCAATTCAGTAGCTAAAATCGTAACCCGAAATCATATTCCTTCTAGTTTTTTCACTCCTTATCAGTGTATTAGGTATATGTGTGTGTGTGCCTGTGGCACATGGCTAACTCTTATACTGAATTAGAAGGACTTATAAAAAAATGTTATGCATAACAAATTGTGCATTAATTAATGCAGTTCATATGCATTGCATACAAAAAAGTCTACATGTAATTTGTTGTCTGCTTTTTAATTCAGATATAATCCGTTTTTCTCTTTATGGTTGCATAAGTAGATGGAATTTAGGCTTGGAAAATGCATATGTAAATCAGTTATATGACAAGACACCCCACTCAAAATGTTAGACTGGGGTGTCACCAATAGTTGTGTGACCATTTTATCAATGAAATCTATTTGAAATGCCAGACGAGTGTCACCGTCGTCGTCGCCGTCGCCGTCGCCATCGCCTTTGCCGCTTTGTGTGGATCGTGGGCTGTGGGCTGCCAAAGTTGTTCCAGTTGCCCATTTGGTAAGTCCATTTGAAAGTCCAGTTGGACTAGCTGAACAGTTTTCATTTGCAATCGGTTGCTTAGTGGATTCTTATTGCAAAATACCATCAACAAATTTGAGACCAGATAAACAATTTTAAAATTATATACTTCAGACATACAAAATTAGCTAAGGCTCAGATTTGCTGACTTGCACGTTTTTTAAGCCGAAACACTTTTATTTAGAGAAGCTAATCAAATAAAACTATTTAAATTAATGAGCTGATGTTTGTAGCCTTGAAATGCAATAAAAAATTTTAAAACTTATATTCAGCTTTGCGAATTTATAATCGAATTTTCCTTCATTTTTTAATAATTTTTTTTTATTAATTCCCGTCAAACTTACCCGGCGGAAAATTGCGTGGACGTCTTATTGAATTTAGCAGTGAGTATACGATAAATCCTATTAGAATCGTAACCAAAAATACTATAGCACTCATCTTGTCGATAACTGTGAACAAATGTCCAATTGGGCAGCACAACAATTACAACACGTCCGTACACTTCGCACGCCATATGCCAACTAAAATTAAAGCCAATTGGATATGCGCACTCGAGCACCAAGAGCTTCGAGAGAGGCACACAAATGCATAGACACACACACATACGCACACACGTGCAGGTATACACAAACACAAACACGTCGCCGTAGGCGCCGGCTCTTGTGTGAATGTGACTGATTAATTGAACACATGTTGATAAAGGAAAACAGTAAAAACCATTTGATAAACACAGTTACATTCAACACTCTCTGCAATGTATAGAAAGTCGAGCCATTAAGGTACTCTCCATGGAATTAGCAGCATCAGCTCATATGGCGGGAAACAATTTAGCAAATTAAAATCTAAGTTTAATTTAAGAATTGTTTTTAACCATATTAAATTTAAAAAAAAAAGTATATTATTAAATATTTTTATATATTCAAGAAAGCTTACAAGTATTTTTATAATAAATGGAAAGAAATTGCGAAATAGAATTCACATTTATTTTGTTAAAATCTGAAATTCAATTTTTTAGAAAAATCAACAACAAATTGCATCAGAATAAAGGGCAAATGGAAACAACTGATTCCATTTAGATAGCTCAAAGGCATTGCAATTCCAGTTGGATTCTCTTTAGTTGGATTTCTAGGCATAAAACATCGCCTATAGGAATACAGAATTCTTAGCAATGATATAGTCAATGTCATTTGTCCAGGGGTTCTTAAAAGCGCGCCATTCACTCTGCAGCTGTATGTAGCCATTGTCCTTGCAGCGGAAACGATAAACCTGCGTGGTAACATTCTCATGCACCTGCATAACCATCTTATGGGACTCCACCAGCGCAGAAATGTCATCGTTGTGAAAGTACTCGTAAAAGCTGGTGCCCAATATTTCCTGGGGCAGGAAGCCTATCACCAGCGTGGCACTGGAAAGAGTCGAAGAGCAGACGTATATAAATACGAAGGACACAAATCCGTATAGTAAGGACTTACCGTTGATCAATGAATAGGAACTTGCCCTCCGCAGAGTGACGCGAAATAAAGAGCACATGCCGAATGTTAGGATGGTTGTCCAAGGAGGAGGGCACACTCGAGTTGAGAACGTTGGTTGGTATGCGCCCAATGGCCACAAGACAGGAGAGATTCGTTGTCTGGTCATCATTGTCACCATCCTGATCCTCGTCCTTAATGGGCATCCACGATTTCAAATAGCCCGTGCATTGTATAACCTGATATTTGTGATCCATGCTGAGCTTCGACTTGCGTTTGGTGGAGCTGCGCGAACTGGATGAGGTGTCCGACTCCTCCTTGATCTGATTGTTTGCAGCACGCAGTTTCATGCGACAAAAGAAGGATCGGCGCGCACCCGGACAAAGGCGACACAAGCTCTGCGGCACATCCGTCTTGACGGGTAACATAGCTAAACAAAAAGAGATTGATTAGATATTCCATAACACATATTATACACTCACTTTTGGCATCGATCAGTCGCTCGCGCGGGCACTGCTCCAGTGAGGATAGCTGCTCCTTCACCTTGCCAATATCCTTCGGATGCAGCACATCGAACCAGCTCTGACCCAAAAGATCCGCCTGCGTGCAGTTCAGCACAGTCGACACAGAGTCGGATACATAGAGTATGCGTCCGCGATCACAACCCACTACAAATAGAAATCCCTCGGAGGCTTGCAATATGATCATCTTTAGTTCCTGATCCGACAGGAAGCTAGGTCTGTAGTCGCCCCCGTTATATGGATGCAGGCTGCCTCGTATGCCCCTCAAATGCTGCACTGCCATGCGCAACACCGTCAACTTGTCCAACTTACGCTGCATGGCAAAGCACATGGGTATCATTGAGGATAGTTCGTTAATGTAGGTGTTCATCTTATCGCGACGCCGCTTCTCAATTTCACTGTGATTCTGCCTGGAGGAAAAATAAATATCATATTAATATAGTTTCATTTATGGGCATACCATTTGTCCTACTTGCGATTTTCATCTGAAGTGCGCGCTGACTTTTCGTCATCATATGTATCATCCTCCAGTTCGTCCAGATTTTCACTGTAAGAAGAAAACATTACTATGTGCCTTATCTAACAAGAACAAGAAGGAAACCAACCCCATTAAATCAAATGAGGCAACTGTTGCTTGCGGCACTTACATCCCCCTTTCGAAGAACACATGTAAAACGCATGCGAATGAGAGTGTGTGTGTGTTTGTGTGTATCTGTGTGTTTGCATGTGCGTGTGTCTGTCAGCGAGTGCTTAGAACTACGTAAAAATGTACAAATTCGCATTTGGAACTTACCAAATCTCCTGCATGACTTCACTGTCGAAATGTTGCTAGCTTGCTTCTTTTATTTATAGCTTTTAAATACAATTCAAGTTGTTAATTATTATTGTTTACAAACAGTTGTAAGAGACCGCAACGAACAATTGGCAAGAATTTGCAGATTGACAAATGCAAGCTTTTCCAATGGCTTAAGCTTTTTTTCGCCAATATGGCAACGCTTTGCATAGCTGCATAGCAGGCTAATTGCACTTGCAGTGCGGAAAGCTTTGTAGAGCTTACAAGAATTACAATGTATTATTTTCAATAAATATTTTTAATTCTTTTAAACCTAATACTAAATTAATTGTAAAACATTGTCATAAACACAACAGAGCATTTTTTCATTAAATATGATACATTTTATCTAAACATATTGTTATGACCTGCATATAGCGATCCCAAAGGCAACGCGTTTCCTGATCCCTAAAATAATGCATCGTTAATTATATATATATATATATATGCATATGTTAGGCAACTGACCTGGATATTTCCAAATCTAGGACGCTCTGTGTTATGGAAGACAGAAATTTGTTGACTTGCTCACGATTCCAGCCATTTTGTCGCCAAGGTTCTACGAGTCTTTCGCAGAGATCGACAAATAAATCGCGCAGCTCACGATTTCGATGCAGATTACACGCTATGGTGATTAGCGCACGCCAATAAGACCGAAAATTACCATCTAATTCGTGAAAGGCGCGCTCCAGCAATACAGGCTTCAGTCGCAAGCAAACCAAGCTGCCAAATATATAAATACTTTATTTAATTGTTAAACAAATTAAAATTTCCTTAACATACTGCTTTATTTCCTTCTCCTTGTCTAGTAAACAGCGCAGTTCACGTAAATCCAGCAAAAATTCTTTATCCATTTCCGTGTCATAATATTCGGGTCCAGTATGCTAAGTAAATATCAAGATTTACACAATTTATTTTTAACCAGCAATCAGTGCTCTTTACCTGATATGTATATGTCCAATATATCATGATGGAGTGTGAGCAGGTGAGCAAATCGCTGAAGGTTAAATATTGCAATTTCTTTTTGGATGTCTCAAAACGAAGGCAAGCCAGAAATACAATGCAGGCATATTTTCTAAGATTAAGAATAATACAAATGAATTAGGTGATATATATTTACTCACATTCTACTTACTTGGCCAGATCGTTGGATATAAAGAAATGTTGCATTATATTATTGGTCAACGTGCCAGGCATCTCCTCAACAGCCCGAAAAATGCGTTTGACATTATCAAATTGACGACTGCTCGTAGACAAATAGGCTTATACATCTAATATATTTAAGTCATAATCCCAAATTACTTACCGACACGATTTGAGCTTAACGCACGTTTTGTCGCCAACTTCGTCCAGATCCTTTCGATACCGCGATGTCAACTTCTTGCCCAATATTTCACGAGCTACCACATCATCAATCGAATAATATTTCTCTATAATTAGATCGCGTGTATGGGGCTCCAGTTGGAAACACGATTGTTCCATTAATTTGGTAGGCGCATGCAAATAAAGTTCAATCAGTGAATAGGTTCGATAATGATCGAGCACATCGGAAGCTATCAAATCAATAGGCGCACCCATTGAATGTCCAAATCCTTTTTGCTTTAGGTAGCAAACCGCTTCGCTTGCTTTGAAAAGAAAAACACACACAAAGAATTAGCTTTAGAAAAATTGTGTACATAAAAACCACATACAGGAAAATCCTTCGATCCATAATTGATAAATTTCAGGATCCACTAGCGTATAGTTGCTTATGAAAACGTCTACATCTGCCTAAAAATAAAAGGTGAAATTTATTTGAACACATTTATTTGGATGATAACATTAAACTTACCATGTTTGTTATTATTATCAATGACTTATCGAAATACTCATAGCTAGTTCGATTGACAGATGCGCAGAGGTAAAAGAGCGAACTAAGTCTTTATAACATGAACCGTTTACCACAAGTATTTTTTAGTGAAACGTGTGACCGACATCTTGCAGCGAAATCAAAATATTCGATTAATGAATAAGTCGAAGCGCATGCCCTGTTAGTCGATTTGTAAAGTAATATATTTCTTTATTTAACACCAGCACAATACTTATTGATTAAATAATATTGAGATTTATAAGCGTTAAAATAATATAAAATATACTTTGTAAATAAATATTTTCGATATGCCAAATATAGGCCGATCGAATAGATATCGAATGAGCAGAAAATAAAATATCGATACATCGTTGTGTTTCTTATATCGCTGCGGGTATCAACTTTTAAGAAATGTAAAAATGTAAATTGCAACATATAAAAATAACTGTAAATAGCCAAAAGCAACGTGCACAATACAAATTCAATGTGAATAGTGTGCGCGCAAAGCAATCGCAAACGCAACAACAATCAAAACAACAACAACAACAACAATAGCAACGACAACAGACTTCGTAGTTGTCGTAGCCCAATTGCAATTGCAACAATTCGATGAACAACTTCACATTCATATCCAACAAACAGAAAAAGGAAACCAATAGAAGCAGAAGAAGAAGAGTGCATTTGTTTTGTCGTGTTGTTGTGGTGCAGAATGGAACAGGATTCCTCAACTGAGCTGCATCTGAGCAGAATACGTGAAGTGAAAGATTTGGCCGCATTAACCGACGACGTGCGCGATGTTGTGAAAGAAGAGGTCACATTAGAGAATCACCATCATCATCAGGTAAATCAACACACAAAAACCGACTCAGAGTGGCGTTGGCGGCAAGGGTGGTTCGTTGGTTCGTTGGCTCGTGCGTTGCTCGTTAAATAGTTCCTTCGTGCTTCGTTTCGTTGGATGCCCGCGCAGCCAACGCGCAGTTGTAGAACGCGCTGCCTACTGTCAAATATGTATACACTTGTACATGTGTGTGTGCGTGAGTGAGTGTTTGTGTGGGGATGTGCAAGTGCCTGTATGTATGTGTGTGTGTGTGTGTGTGTGTGTATGTGTGTGTGTGTGTATGTATGTGTGTGTGTGTGTATGTATGTGTGTATGTGTTTGTGTGCCTCTCTATAGAACAAGTGGTGTGTGTAAGGCAAGGGGGTGTAGTGGGGTCGAGCGGCGTACAGTTGTGGGCTGCCAAAAGGGGGGAGGCGGAGGCGGCGCAACAAAAATGCGCGCGGTGCTTGCGCCCTACACGGCCCACAGTGACAGTTCGAGTCTCAGAGCCAGAGCCAGAGCCAGAGCCAACGTTAGAGCAAGAGCCCGCCACCAACACCACCACCACCACCATTACCACCACCACCATCATAGCCAACTCCAACAACGTCAGAATTTGTGTGTGGCGCAAATTGTTGTGTATACCGATTTTCATTTTTCCATGCTGTGTTGTTTACTTACACAAACGAAATTTTCTTTGATTTCTTCCATGTTAAATTACAAATAAATTACAACTACAACAAAATAAAAATCAATTAACGCTTAAATTGTTGTTAATGTTAATGTGACGCCAAATACAATAACAACAACAACGCATCTTCGTTGTAACTCCTTGTGACTCTGTAATGTGCGCTATGGTAATGCAGTTGGATACGAAAGTTCGCATGGTCACATCCTCCTCAAACGACAACAGCGGCAGCGGCGGCGGCAACAACGGCGGTGCAAGCGGCGGCGGCGGTGTTGTGTCAGTACCCGTATCATTGCCAATCGGTTCAATGATAACTGGGACAGCCTATAATGTGATTACGCCCGATCAGCTGCCGCACTTTAAACCGGTGTTGTGCGTCGACAACAATGGTTACCTGTCCGGCAGCACGGTCAGCATGGGCGCTGACCTAAAAACGATTGTCATACAGCAACAGCAGCAGCAAACGCAGACGAGCGTTAATAGCAACGCCGGCAACACAAACACCACCGCCACAAATACCATTGGACTGAATCACGATGGCTCTGGTAGCAATAATAGCCATGACAGCATGGGTACACTGGATCATGCTGCTGGCGGCGGCGGCGCAGGCAACACAAGTGGCTCCACCGGCTGGGCGGAAACAACATCCAGTACACAGCACATGGAGGTCTTCCCGATACGCTGTAAAACCACTTCCGCCGAACTATATCGCAGCAAGCTGGGCTCTGGAGGACGAGGGCGCTGTGTCAAATATAAAGACAAATGGCATACGCCCAGTGAATTTGAGCACGTGTGTGGTCGTGGCTCGAGCAAAGATTGGAAACGCTCTATCAAATATAGTGGTAAATCGTTGCAGTCCCTCATTGATGAGGGCACGCTAACGCCACATGCAACCAACTGCAGTTGCACAGTCTGCTGTGACGACGAAGCAGGTGAGTCAGGTGAGAGATGCATACTTACAAACAACAAATATAAATATATATAAGCCCCATTTAGATATTCGAAAATATATTTTAAATAAACTTCAGCGGCAGCTCAAAATGCATGTGACGCCTTGAAATTGTAATTATTTTCATATTTAGTTTATTTCATTTGTAGTCATATACTTAGCGAAGTCCTTTATTTATTTGATTATGTGCTCTAGAAATTCTATTTATTGCAAGTTGGAATCGAATTGGCCATTGTGATTCGGCTTTCAGCGGGAATCAAGATAAAATCTGTACTCCTAACTGATTTCTATGATCTGATGAAAGCAGACTATATGAATTATTAAACATATTATGCATTACTCAATTTAAGACTTTCCTTAATAAATATAACCGAATGCCAAGCAATTCTTTACAACAAATTGCAAAATAAAATGAATTTAAATCTATCTTATCTTAGTAAAGCCCACTCAAGCTGACAAGTAGTTATATGCTTTGTAACGTAGGATATTCTAGTATATATCTGTCACATACTTCTTTTGGACAATACACTTTAACAATATGGTACTCTTGATCCTTCTAGCTTCTGGTCCTGTACGTCTATTCACACCGTATAAGCGACGAAAGCGAAATCAAACCGAATTAGATGTGGAACCAGGGCCCAAACGTAAACGCAATACACATAGCAACAATAATAATAACAACAATAGCAACACTAACAACAACAATACAAGTGGTAGCAGCATCAACAACAACATCAACAACAATATGGACCCAACGCAAACGACCGCCACCAGTGTTGTGGATGATAACAATATGTTTTTAGCGGAAGATAACATAACGTCCAAGGATGAACCGTGGGCGACGCTCAATGACAGTTTAGACACCTCCACCGAGCTGGTTGACCAAACGCAAATGGGCAATCCGTATGAGCGCGATACGTTTGTGGTAAACATCAACGATACGGGCTCCATTGCCGTACTGGATGGTAGTCAATCGATGAAGAACATCGAGCACGTCTACTGCACCATGGTAAAGGCAACTAACGATTTCAAACGCCTGCTCAACGACATTAAGCAAAACTACGAGCGACGCATCGAGGTTCTGCAAAAGGAACGCGATGCAGCGGTCTCTGCGATGCGTGTCCAGGTGCACACAGACATCGATGATCCCAACATATCGGGCTCATTACACGGCAACGAGATCATATCGGCCAAGAAGGTAGACACACATAGACCTAACTTATATAATATTCAAAGCCTCATTACATATTATAATTTTATTTTGTATAGTGCGCCAACTGCAATCGGGAAGCGCTGGCCGAGTGCTCGCTGTGTCGAAAGACGCCGTATTGTTCGGAATTTTGCCAGCGTAAGGATTGGAATGCTCATCAGGTGGAATGCGCAAGGAATCCACAAACGACAACGCAACAGGTCATGTTATTGATCGATGATCAGTCCTAAGCAACGTAACGAATTGTACATACAAATTTTACTACTAATTAATATATGATTATGCAAGGCTCCTATCCCAATCAGATAAACTAATTCCTTGTCCAACCAGTACACGAGACCCCTCTCCCAATATCCTTAGCAAGCCCTCCCATTAGACTTATGTCCTATTATAATGTAATTCTTAAAAGTATATATAACTATATAAATATATATATGTATATATATTTATATATACATTTTACTATCGACCGTAGAGAAGAAAGAACCGAAAACAAACAAAAAATCCAAAAAAGAAAGAAAGAAAGAGAACGTAATCAGAACATTTGTAGCAAGCGTAAATCAAAGCAAGCGTCCACAATGGACAACTTGGCATAGCGTAAATGAAAAGGTTTAGCTACGATTTGAGATAATGCAACAAAATCCGAAAAAAACTTTAACATGTAATTCAATTTAAATTAAATTAATAAATAGTTGCAACACGCATAGCATAACTAACAAAGGTCCCACAAAAAAATATAAAATAAAAACAAAAAACAAAGTCCCCCGAAAGAATGTCCCTCATTCCCTTCTCAGCTTGACAACTTTTTGCATAAAACAAAAGTATAAAAGTAAAAAAAAATAAATAAAAGAATAATAAAACACAAACAAATAATAAGAAACAACCAAAAGCGAGAGAATAAGCGGAAATACAATACATATTCGTCTATGTATACATTTTTCATTAGACACTAAGCACATAGTTAAACTTTTAACATTTTACGATTATAATTTTATGGATCTACTGCCCGTCGTTACAAGCATCCAATAAAGATTTCAAAACAAAGCAAAACAAAACAAAACTAAAATAAAATAAAATAAAATAAAAACGAAACGATGTGAAGAAAAACCAAACAAAAACACAAACATTTACATTTAATCGAGATGAACATTTAGCTATTAACTAATTACTTAGTTTTGTGTACATTTCTGTGTCGTTGCAGTACTCTGTCCCAAATTCCTTTGTAAAGTTTACTGACCCGTAAGAAGCTGTAACAATTTCTAGTAGTCTGTAGTTCATATGCAAACACATTCATATATACTTATGTATGTAGTATATATATTATATATATATATGTCTTTAAACAACTAGCTATATATTCCAGTTCACACACACAAACCCACACACATACAGCGGAAACACACACGAACACGAACACCAATGGCTATTTATCAGAGATCAGTTACAGTCCGTTGATTCTAAGCCGATTCACGGCGAATTTGAAATCTTTTCAGATGTCTGTAACGGTTTATATTTTTTTTTTCAAATTTCACCTACAAACAGTCGAACACTGAACACCAATACAACAGAACATGCAAATAGAGAGTGCGAAATATCAAAAGCGATGGAAGATAAGAAAAAAGAAATATATATACTTACATTTAAATGTATAATCCTTACTATTTGTCGAATTCTTTTTGTGTTCTTTTTTTTGTTCTTTACTGTATTGTCAGGTAAGTAATTGAGTGTTCAGTTGATGTTCTAGGACTTGCTTTTAATGCCAAGTACACAGCAAGTCGTGTAGCATAGCATACTTATTGGATCGTACATCGAGAACGCCGTGCAGTGGGTTCCCAATTTTCTTTTGCTTCACAAAAATAATAAATAAATATCTGTTGATTATTCGCATATATTTGATTTCTATTTGTCTTTTTTGACAGTTCCATCGGACAGCTTAGCCATCTGACTCGCTCTCCTTCCTTCATAATGCAGTTTTGTGATGAACTTTCAACATGCCTCGAACAGCATTCTGTTGCCCTCTCTGGCGACTCTTTCATTGGAAGCTCTCTCTAATGTCTTTATATTGCATTCCTCTCTAACCATTGTCCCTCCTAACCCATCGTTTTATTATGGAAACTAGATCATAGAAAAGGTCAGTAAAGTAATTAATTACAGAATGTGAAACGCAAAATCCAGGATCTAAAGTAATGTAAAGAGTCCTCCATTCCTCATATTTACTGCTCGAAGATGCCCCATTATGCACTTAATTAAAAATACATCAATATAATTTAGTTGTTAGTCAATATTATGCACATGTTTCATTTATTATTGCATTTTGCATTTTGCATTACATATTATTAATATGCTTATTATTATAGTCTATTACCAAAAATAATTTCTTAAAACTTGTTTACTCGTTTCATTTATTTATAGGTATGCTTTAATTACTTTAAGTTTTGCTCGGATAGATTCTTTCATTTATTTATCTTTTTGTTTAGCTGTAGTATATAATTCGATTTAATTTGCTTGCGTTTTACCAGCGATAACTTTTGTTCGAAAACACACGAAACTCCAAAAAACTGTAAGAAATAACTACAATAATATTCAGGATTGTAGGAGGTAAGGGAATTCTCTGTGTTTGTGTGTGTGGGGGTTTGTGGGGGGTGTATACACTGAACGAAACCGACCTTTAAATTGCTGTTGTTTTTTCGTGGTTAGTTTAGTAACTAATTTGTGTGATTGGTACATAGAATAAATGTGGGTGTTTCATAATTAATAAATACAAAACATACATATGTAAGTATATTAAATAACGTGCCTAAATATAAAACATTTCACAATTATCTAAATAATAATATTGTGGATATACGTACATACATATATATGAAATTTATTAACAAATTTCGCTGCTGCCCAATGAAGAAAAACAAACATATAATTTATAAACAATTGCCAAATTGGTTATTCAAGTGCCATATTTCAAAACACGATTTTCAAAGGGACGCTTGAAGGAGGATTAAACAAAGCCAAAGACAGTGATGAATTAGTTAATTTAAGCATTTAAACTTAATTGTAGGCGCAAAACATTTACAAATACAATGCATACATATTTTTCACTTTTCTTGCGTTTGCTCCGTTTTGTTGTTGTTTTTTTTTTCGTTTCTTTTCTTTTTGTTTTGTTTCTTTTGGAATCACAAATGTTAGCTATAGTATTTAAATACACATGTAGGTAAGACATTCAAAAGGAAAATTAAGTTTTATAGCGATTGAGAATGCTCTTAATGATGGTGTTAGAGAGACTACGATTGCAATTGTGGTTTCTGCTGCTCCTGCAGATGCAGCTGTTGCTGGTGGTGGTGTTGTGAGTGGTGGTGGTGGTAATGATGGTGGCAAAGTGTGGCTACCGGCAAGCTGCGCAGCTTCATTCCAAATTTCGCACCTCAAAGCGCTTGTACGTGTAATTAATGAAGACCCAATCCTTGGCAATTTCACCGCCCTGCGGTACAGGTGCCGACGCTGAACAATGAAAATAAGAATTTGCGACAATTCAACAATGTCCAACATACACGGAAATAAATTGCACTTACGTATCTCCAGCGAAACATCCGGAAATTCATCAAAATTGGACGTATCGTCAATGGAGCGCACTTCAACGGGTATTGCAGCTGGCCGCTCTCGAATGTGTTCCCAATCAACGCCGCGAAAGAATGGCACCGACTTCAGATCCTCCAATCCGCGCTGTGAGCCCAAACGTCGATCGGCCTCGCAACAGAAATTGATGATCGTCTCTTTGGCCTCCTCCGATATGGGTATTTCGGGCGGGAATATTAACGTTTCGCGCCAATTCATCACCTTGCGATACGTGTCCTGAGGGTTGTCCGAACAGAATGGCGGATATCCCATTAGCATTTCGTACATAATAACACCCAACGACCACCAATCGCACGCAGGTCCATAGCCGGTTTGCAGGAATACTTCGGGCGCTATATAATCGGGCGTACCCACTGTGCTGTAAGCCAGAGCACGACGATTTCGTTTCCAGGACTCTGCGCGTCGCTTCGAATCCATAGGACTGCATAAGTGAAATGAAAATTATTGCAAATTCTACTTTCCATTTGTTTGGCTTATTGTCACTAACCTGGCACACGTGCCAATAAAATCGGATGGTTTCGCCTGCGATAAGTCTCGATAAAAGTCCGTGCGATGTGACTTCTTCAAACCCGTGCATAATCCGAAATCAGAGAGCTATAAAAATAAATTTTACTATTAATAATATGTATATGTTATATTGATAATGTGCTTACCTTTAGATGCCCTCGCGCATCCAGCAGCAAGTTATCTGGCTTAATATCCCTGTGTATGAAACCTAGCTTATGAATTGAATCGATCGCTAACGCTGTTTCACTTATATAGAATTGTGTGCACTCCTCGGATAGCGTGTCCTTCTTCATTAGGAGCGTCATCATATCACCGCCAGGCAAGAATTCCATTATCAAATATAAATTGACCTGGTCCTGTAATGCAATCGAAAGACCAATTATTAAAGCTAAGCAAATCGAGACATTTAAACTGGGGCGGGTTTATATTACTGAGTTGGCGAATTAATTGTGGAAATTTGAAATAAATATAAGTGGATAGTATTCGTGTGAATCGTATGAATAATGCTATTGATACTAATAATACTAAAAACAAAAAAAAAATATATTTTATTTCTATCATGAAGTGAATCATGAATTTTTCGTTTCTTTGTCGTGCTTCTGCGTATCTCATGTTAGAAAATGTCATATAAACGTATTTAAGGAAAGTTAAACTGTTACGAAGCTGCACGAAAGTTGTTGATTTCTTCATTATAATGAACTATTTACACCCAACCAAATACACATACGCATACGCATGCATAGGCATGTATCTGTGTGTGTGAAAACTTTCACCAAGAACAAATCAAAACAACAACAACAGTACGAACGATAGCAAACAACAACACAGCGTAGACCATATGATTTGGCAAACGCTTTTGCACTTGTATTGGTTTATTGATTTTCAACTGCATGTTGCGAATTGTGTGCGAGCTTGATATTTATTTGGACTTGCTTGCATTCTTACCTGAAAACTGTAGTACATCTTGACCACCCATTGATGATCCGCTTCTACGAGAACATCGCGCTCAGCGCGTACGTGTGCCACCTGCTCCTTTTCGAGCATGTCCGCTTTGCGCAACACTTTCATCGCGTACACATGTCCCGTATCCTTTTTTTGCACTAAACGCACCTCGCCAAAAGCACCGCGTCCGATGACTTTTAATGCTTCAAAATCCTCGACACCAAGACGCAATCGCTTAAGACGCAAATATTCCGTCTCTTTTTGCGCATGCTGTAAGCGTTTCTCCTGGCGCTGTGATTCTGTTAGACTTTCGTCCTTCAGCTGCGCTTCTAGTTTGGCTAAGCGCTGTTTTCGCTCGCCGTATTGTGTCACCAAATTGCTGTAATAATTTTCCAACGTCACCTTGGCCTTGGTGGCTTTGTCCAGTGTGTGATCGCTGAAACGTATCGAGGAGCCATCCGTGTCCGTTCTGCTGCTCATCATCTAAACTGTGTGTGTGTTGCTCTTGCTGGCGTGTGTTTGTGTCTGTATGCGTGTCGTGGAGTTTAATGTCCTTGCACGAATTATGCACTTGCTTAAAGCAGACACACAGCTTAAATTATTGTATTGCCTTTTTTCCTTTGTAATTTATTAAATTGCTACCTCTCTTTCGTGTTTCGTTATCGTCGTTCTTTCTTATTGTGCGTAGGGTTGATATCCATGAAATTAATCGAATGTATTTCAATCGAATGGCATGAGCTCATTTTCTGATAAGAAGTTCAGTATTTTGTAAATAACTTTAATGCAGCCACTCTTTAAGCGAAATCGATATACGGGATATGTCGATACTATTAAAAATCAGCTGATAGTTAATTACCTTTTGTGCAAACTATGTTTTTATTTTATTCTATTAAAGCGCAACAAATACTATCATGGCGCGCACAACCGACTTTTCGGACCTCAATTTTCAATGTTTACTGTTGATATTCAAGTTGCTACATAACTTAGATGATCAAGTCAGTTTTGCACTCTGCTGCCGAAGGTTTCGCGATGCATTTGCATACCTACACCGACAACGATTCGAAGAAATAGTTGATAGCGACATAAAGCTACGTAATTTGGACAATTGGCGTGCCTTTTTATGGATGTGCGGAGCCAATGTCAAAAGGTTAACTTGCTACCGCGACGATGATCATCCGCTGCAAATATTATCTTTGGTGTCGAGATTCTGCGTCCGCTTGGAGAGCATTACGCTGCGCAATGTTACGGTGGTCAGGGCCCAGCCGTATTTGCTGAAATTAACAACGCTAGAGAAGGTTTACGTACGTAATTACAAAAGCACCAGCATAGATCTAATTAAATGTATGAAGCTGCGGCTGCCCCACATACAATATCTTGGCTTGGAATGCTTTGAGCGCAGGGAATGTAAGTTTTGAGTAAAATTCGATTCTTTAACAGTTTGCATTGTTCAATAATTTCATTATTTCCCACCAGTACAAGAATTGCGCCACTTCTTTAATCTGAAGGAGTTGCAAATGTACGACGAAGTAACAGCGTCCGATTTCATTGCCATTACCAAATCCATGAGGAATTTACGAAAACTGCAGCTGAAAAATGCCAAGAAATTTCTGACTACTAATGCGCTTAAGCAACTGGCCATAAATTGTCGACAGATAGAGAAATTCAGCTTTCAGGATAGTGATGCCGATCTTACAGTCTTGTCGATGTTCCCCAACTTGCAATATCTTCAGCTTAATTGTCCAGATAACCAAAAGGCGCGCTTGTTCAAAACTTTGGGTAGCAAGTGCGCTACGAATTTGGAATATCTCATATTGCAACGTAAGCAATGGATCGACGAGGAGCAGGCGCAACGCATTGGCTCAATCAAAACACTCAAATGGCTTGTGTGCAAGCCTCGCAATGATCGTTGCGTGGCTCAACTGGCGAATCTAACTCAATTGGAGTGCCTCTCATTGCAATGCGCCCGAGATATTGGGGAATCGGAGCTCTTGAATTTAATCCGCAATAACGAACAGTTGCGGTATCTGAACATCTGCTACTGCCTGGGCATAACCGATGCCTTCATTGTAGACATGCTCAGCATCTTAGCTCAACGACGGACACAACAGCCGTTGGTGCTTTATGCAGCTGCAACAGATATTAGGCATGATATCATTGAAAGAGTGAGTAGCTGACTTAAGTAGTGTTATCCATAATTTTGATTTGCGTTTCTTTTAGCTACCAACCGATTTTGCCTCGAAATCACTGATCTTATACTTTGAGTGTAGTCAAGGGATGCATTCCACTGAACATTATTATAGCGACGAACCGGAATTCGATCGTTGATGATGTTATTTCGAGATGTCAGTTAAGCTTATACACATCATTATGCATTCGCATAAGAGAATACCAATAAGCTGTTCGTATACCAAATTATATACTTAGAATTTTATAAAAGTATTTAATGTATATTTATCCTTCTGTTATATTACACTTTAAGTGCTTTATATTACACGATAATAACGCTTATTTCAAAAATAAATTAAGCACCTTTTTAAATCATATTAAATTGAATATAAATTTACATCTTTATTGTTAATTGTTTTCTGATTTGTCATATGAAAGCATACTTGGATTTGTACATATAGTTAAACTAGGATTCGTATATACAGAAAAAAGAATCGTATAGTATGGCTATGCATCAGACATAAGATAAGCCGTGGCAATAATTAAAGGAAGAAATCAGAAATCAGTTATTTGAGATTATTGCATTTATACATCAGTCAGAATAGTTGTATATGTTTAAATGAACAGCGGTATATTTTAAACAACAATAACGTTTGAAAACAGCTCGTTATTTATGTATCGATAAAAACGTAATATGCTCATCTCTAACTTACTTAGTGTTGGAAAAGGCAACGTGAGAATAAAAAATCGATTGTACGATAACGATATACATATATTTGTTTTCGTGTTATTTGTTGTGTCTGACTCAAGTGAAAATTGCGAAGAAACTTTTAAAATAATTGCGTGAAAACATATTTTAAAGGTCGCAACGATGCTCTCGTTGTTGCAGGAGAAGCGACCATTAAAGCGCACACGCCTAGGACCTCCGGATATCTATCCCCAAGACGCCAAACAGCGCGAGGATGAATTGACGCCCTCAAACGTGAAACATGGTATTATAACGACACCACCGCTGTCTGATGAATTTGGCACAGCACACACCTCAAATGTGAACGCTAGCAAGGTGAGCGCGTTCTTTAGCGGCGTGCTGGCCAAAAAAGAGGAGTTAATGACGCTGCAGGATACGGTACGAAAGAAACAGCAAATAAATTGCAAAGACAACTTTTGGCCGGTGTCGCCGCGTCGCAAGTGTACAGTGGATGCCTGGTTTAAAGACTTAGCGGGCAATAAGCCGCTGCTTAGTCTAGCAAAGCGCGCGCCCTCTTTTAACAAGAAGGAGGAAATATTTATAACGCTTTGCGAGAACCAGGTCAATATGCAGCGTGCCACCTGGTTTATCAAACTCAGCGCCGCATACACGCTAAGTTTTACCGAATCGAAGAACAAAAAGCGTAGCATATATGACCCGGCAGCCGAATGGACAAGTAATATGATCAAGTTCATGAAGGAGCTTTTGCCAAAATTGCAGGAATACTATCAACAATGTAAGTATGAGCTTTTGAATGGAGTTAGTCATTATCGTTCCGTTTTTTAGCACACGATAAGAATGGAATACAAGCAAATGGTAGCAGTAGCTCATCTACCACTAGCAGCATTAGTAGCAACAGTAATGGGACTGCTACCAGCAACAGCAGCAACAACAACAGCAGCAGCAATAACAGCAGTGTGGTTAGTACCACGTCCAATGTTATACCGGTACCTAGCATGTCCAGTCCGCTGCCTCCCATACACAGTCCAGCTAATGGCCAGCCCAGTGCCGTCGGCGGCGCTGCAGCTGGCGGTGCTGTGCCCGGATCTTCTGCGCCACCAGGTACAGCACTGGCTACACTGGGTGGTTCTGCAACTGTTGGGGCAGCTGGAGCGAACGCCGGTGCCGTACCTCCGGGCTCTAGTATCTCCGGCGTTGGCAGTCAGTTCGAGGATAGTCGCAATGCGTTAAAATACTGGAAGTATTGCCACCAGTTAAGCAAATATATGTACGAGGAATCCTTGCTTGATCGTCAGGAGTTTCTTAATTGGATATTGGATTTGTTGGACAAGATGCGCACACAGGCCAGTTTCGATGAGCCACTAAAGAAGCTGGTGCTAAGCTTTGCACTGCAGTACATGCATGACTTTGTCCAGTCCGAGCGGTTGTGCCGCAAGATGGCAAACCTAGTAGCCAAAAAGCTGGCTCAACTCCTCAATGCGGCTGTTGAACAGCAGCAACAGCAACAGGCGGTAATCAAGTCGCAAGCTATGGAAATAGATGGGGCTGATGAACAGCAACAGCAACAGCCAAATATTGATCCGTATGAGCAGGCGCTTCATGAATATATGAACTGTCCACATCATCGTGACATTATTCTGTATTTGAGCACCATACTGCAGGTGATTACCATCGAGTGCCCTACGGCTTTGGTATGGAGCGGTATAGCTGCACATCGTGCGCCCTCATCTCTGGTCGGCAGTCCTCTCGATCATTTACCCCTGGCGCCCTCAGTTTTGCCAATGCCATCTCGTTGCCCACGTACCAACCACGAGCTACGCAAGCAACTACGTGCCGCCGAGGCGGACATTGTATTGCGCACCCAGCACGCAGAACAACGCTGGTTCGCCTCTAAGTGGCTGAACGCTGGCAAGAATCATTATACCAATGTGCTAGCAACGTTGGACCATCTGGACACGCACTGCTTTGAGCGCATGGATCAGTGCAATTCAATTGACACGCTCTATGCTCATATATTTCCACCACAAACTTCGCAGCTGCGCCGCCCTGAGGAGGATCCACAGCAGCAACAGCAGCCACGTGCTCCATATGAGCCAAAGCAGGATGCGGATACGGTGCGTATTCTTTGCGAGTGGGCCGTATCCAGCCAGCGTTGGGGTGAGCATCGAGCCATTGTTGTGGCCATTTTGCTGGACAAGCGCCAGATTGATGTAACCAGTACGCCAGCTGATCAATGTGGCGATAAAGAAGATAAGGACTCTCTGGCTTCTGGTGCGGGCATCATTGACGGGCTACCCGTCTTTCAGCATGTTCTAATGCACTTTCTGGATCACGATGCGCCCGTTTTGGATGAGCATAATAGCAGTGCCCAACAGCGCACGGAATTTACAAATTTAGTACAGCTGTTCAGTGCGCTTATACGTCACGATGTCTTCTCGCATAATGCATACATGCACACGCTAATCTCGCGTGGAGATCTACTTTTGGAGTCGATGCTTGTGCACAAAACAACAGCGAAAAGTTCACCACCGCCGCCAGCGCCACCGCCACCCAATAGTAGCGCAACTACTCACGGATTTGATGACGATGGTTTTGGTTCGAGCATTGGCATTGACTTCAAGCACAATGAATTTGATGATTCTAATGTGGATGATGATCTGGATAAGCTGGTGCAAAATATAAAGGAAAAGGGGCAACAACATGAGGCACCTGACAGTCCGAAAATCGGAGCACCTGGCGACGGGGAGGGTGGCGTTGATACTCCAGGCACTGGCGTCAGCATATCCAGGCACTATGTGTACACCAAGCACTTTCCCATACCGCAGGACGATCCCAGCATGTCCAGTTACAGCAGCGAAAGCAATCAGCGCTATATATTGCTCTTTGGCGTGGGCAAGGAGCGAGACGAAAAGAAACATGCGGTCAAAAAAATGTCCAAAGAAATTGGCAAACTCTTCACAAAGAAGTTCAGCATCGATGTGGCCGAAGGCGGCAAGGTGAAGAAGCATTCACGCAATGAATTCAACTTTGAAGCGACTACAGCCAAGTGTCAGCATATGGCCTACTTTGATCAGCATGTAGTAACCGCGCAGTGTGCGGCCAATGTTCTAGAACAACTGAATGGCTTTGCTCTGGGCAACAATAACTATTTGCCCGTGCAGGAGCATGTTGCATTTTTGTTCGATCTAATGGAACTTGCGCTTAACATTTACAGTCTGCTCGAGCTGTGCGATCATTTGCTCAAAGAATTACCCGAGGTGGAGCATCAGCTGCAACAGAAAAAGTCAAATATGGTACGTGGCTACACCACCTCTTTGGCCCTCTACATTGTCAGCATTCTGCGACGGTATCACAGCTGTCTTTTGCTCTCGCCCGAGCAGACGGTGTCCGTTTTTGAAGGACTTTGTCGCACTATACGTCATGTGAGCAATCCGAGCGAATGCAGCTCCGCGGAGCGCTGTATACTTGCCTATTTAAGCGATCTGCATGAGTCCTGCATACTGCTGCAGGGTAAGGAGCAGGCTGCCGAATACTATCAACAGTTGAACTGCATCAAACGTTTCAAGGATATCTTCAATACGCCCGAACAGCTGAGGTAAGTTTCTTAGTTATAATTGGACATCTTCAAATTCTAATCATTCTTTTAAATTTCACAGCATGGCTCCACAAGGCTACAATCCGCAACTGCTGCAAGAGCTGTTTGCAACGCCACGGCGTGGTGGCAAATTGGAGTCCCACTGGCTGCGTCAGCTGCATGAATCCCCTGCCAATGTTTACAGTTTTGTGTCAAATGCCGTCATAGCCGTATGCCGGGAGACGGACAACGAACGTCTAAACGATGTAGCGCTTGCTTGCGCCGAGCTAACAGCCAGCTGTAATGTTCTATCCGAAGAGTGGATCGCTGCCTTGCAGAGCTTGTGCAGCGGCAGCAAGAGTCCAAGATATCCACATCTGGGGGCTCAAGTGGACATTGGCCAAAGTAAAACGCACAATGCGCTGGCCGTCTTCGTGTGTATTCTGGTGGCTAGACATTGCTTTTCGCTTGCGGACTTCGTTAGTAAATTTGCACTGCCTACGCTGGCGCGTTCGGTTAGCGGCGCCGGCGGCAGCGAACTGAGTGTGGATGCGGAAGCAGGCGCGCGGCTCACCTGTCATTTAGTACTAAAACTCTTCAAGACACTGGAAATCCCACAGCCAGGCATGTACTCGGTGAGCACATCCCCCAATCCGCTGCATGCTGTTGGCAATGATTTTAGCATACGCCTAAGCTGTGATCGTCATCTGCTTGTGGGAGCCCACAAAACCATACCCATTGCGGCGGTTTTAGCTGTGTTAAAGGCCATACTCATTGTGGTGGACAATGCGGCGCTTAAGACTCCGCTAGGTGCTAGCGGCTTGGGTTCTTCTGGTAGCGGCAGTGCTTTTGGCAGTGGTAAACGCAGCGGTTTCAATACGCCCGTGCATCCTGGCAGCACACCCAAGAGCAACGAACAACGACCAGCAGATCTCAGCCAGATACTGGGAACCAGCGACTTGCAGCAGGGCAGCCTGGGCAGTGAACAGGAGTCTCTCCAGCAACCAACTGGCAGCAGCTTGGCTGGCAACGAGCAAATCTCGTTGCTGGAGTTTGCGCAAGCGGTTCTCAAACAGATCTGTGCACAGGAGCATGTTTTGGAGCGCTGCTTGAAGAATGCAGAACAATTATGCGATATGATTATTGACGAGATGCTGACCGCAAAGCAGGCGCAGCGCGTGCTGCACATGATCTGTTATCCGGAGGCCGAATTCAATATTATATCAGAGTTGGATCAGCGCTTGATGATAGTGCGCATATTGGAACACTTAGATCAGTGGACTCTGCGCATTTCCTGGTTGGACTTGCAGCTTATGTATCGCCAATCGCTGAGCAACAACACATCGCTCAGCAACAACACCGAGCTCAACGTTTGGCTAGATACGGTGGCCAGAGCGGCAATTGATGTGTTTCACATGGAGGAGGTGACGTTGCCGGGAGCCCTGAAATCCACACATAAACCCAAGCCGTCCACTTGGCTGGTAGCACCGCTCATTGCCAAGCTAACACCTGCTGTACAGGGACGCATCTTGCGTGTGGCCGGTCAAGTGCTCGAAAGCATGAACTACTTCTCTAAGGTGTCCAAATCCGATTGCAACAGCAGCGGCAGCGGCGACGAACGGGAAAAGAGCAACAGCTGTCACAGTAGCAATAGCTACGGCGCTGGTGGAAGCATGGCAGCACGCAATAAGAAGATGCCGCTCAATTATCAACCTTTCCTGGGACTGATACTCACTTGCCTAAAGGGTCAGGATGAGTATAAAGAGAATCTGCTTGTTTCACTCTACTCGCAGCTCTCCCAGTGCTTGCAGTCCTTTGCTGAGGTAAGTGCGTGTCGTAAACCCTTTTGTATTCATTGCTAATATTTGAGTCCTCTTGACAGCTGGACACCATTGGCGGCATTGATGAGCCACAGGCACGTGAAGAGATTCTTGATGCACTACAGCTGCGCTTTTCGTTAGTGGGCGGCATGTTTGATGCCATACAAAAGAACAGCACTCCCACTACGGACTGGGCTATTCTGCTCGCCCAACTGGTTTGTCAGGGTGTCGTAGATCTAAGCTGTAATCGTGAACTCTTTACTACTGTTGTGGACATGCTGGCTACTTTAGTGCACTCGACGCTTGTCTCCGACAGCCAATCGGAACGAGATGAGAATAAAAAGCTGTATCTAAATTTAATGAAGAAACTAAAAAAAGAAATCGGCGAAAAGAATAACGCTTCGATACGCGTCATACGCCAACTTCTACCCCTCTACAAGCAGCCCACGGAGGTTTGTTTTCGCTAATTATGAACCTTAACACATACTTAAAAGCTATCTCCTTTCAGGTCATAGCTTGCGAGCATGCGGGCATGGACACTAAGGGCAACAAGATTTGCGACATGGACAAAAAGCAGCTGCGTATATCGGATAAGCAGCGCATCAGTGTCTGGGACATTCTCGAGGGTCACAAGAATCCAGCACCGCTCTCATGGGTATGGTTCGGCGCCGTCAAGCTGGAACGTAAGCCTCTCACTTACGAGGAGGCCCATCGTAATCTCAAATACCACACGCACAGTCTGGTCAAGCCCAGTAGTTATTATTATGAGCCCTTGCCGCTGCCGCCGGAGGATATTGAGCCGGTTCCAGAGAAAATTTGCATAGTAAGTCGAACCGTAGCATTTACTCTGACAAGTGACTTACCGAAATTTTTTCTGTAGAAGGATGAAATGATGAAGGCCGATACGCCTTCGTCGGTGGATCAATCGCCCAGCGCTGTAGTTGGCACTGGGCGTGGCCGTGGTAAAGGCACCACAACACGCAAACGCAAGCCAAAGGTTTCAAAGACGCCACCAGTGGTAAATACGCAACAGCAGCAGCCACAGCTGGCACCACAGCCCCAACAGCCACCCAATGTGCAGCAACAGCAGCAACAACAACAAATGCAGCAACAGCAGCATATGCAACAGCAAATGCAGCCCAACCAGATGGGACAGATGCCCATGAATATGCAGGTTCGTGTCATTAAATGTAACTAAAATTTGACAACTATTGATACGATTTCCTCATCCAGATGAATATGCAGCAATTTGGACCCAATGCCATGATGCAGCAGCAGAATGCACTGATGCAACAACAGCAGCAACAACAACAAATGCAACAAATGGGTCCAAATCAAATGCAGCAGCAGCTAAACGTGGGCGGCAATGGCCAACCGAATACACAGATGAACTTTATGCAAGGACCTGGACCTGGTGGACCACAAGGCATGTCCGGCCAACAGCAGCAACAACAGCAATGGCATAATGCACCCCAACAACAGCAACAGCAACCGCAACAGTATCATAATCAGTATCAGCATCAACAGAACATGCAAAGTAAGTTCCTCTGGAATTCTGTGCAGATATATGTTAATAATTTATTTAATTTGTAGTGAATCGCATTGAACGACCGCCGCTAAATACCAACTCCAAGCAAGCATTGTCGCAGATGCTGCGTCAGCGGCAGCCGAGCTCATTCCAACAGCAGCAACAACAACCGCCAGGTGGATTTAATCCTATGCAACAGCAGTCACAACAACAACAGCCACAGGGACCGCAGCAGCAGCAAATGAATGCACAACAGCTGCGGCAACAGCAGCAGCAGCAACAAATGAATGCACAACAGAATCCGCAGGCAGCGGCCGCCTTTAATGCCATGCAACAACAGCAACCCAATGTGCAGCAACAGCAGCAAATGAATCCCAATCAACAGCAGCTACAACAGCAACAACAACAGCAGCAACAACAATTCATGCGTGGCAATATGCGTGCCATGGCGCCAAATCAAATGGGTGGCATGAATATGGTGGGTCAGGGCATGCCGCAAAATCCCATGATGCAGCAGCAGCAAATGGCACAAGGAATGGTGGGCATGGTCAATCCAAATGCCAATCCGATGATGCAAGGCGGCGGTGCTGGTGGCAATGGCGGTGTTGGTGTTGGCGTCGGTGTTGGTGCTGGTGGCAACAATCCAAACATGGGGATGGGCGGTATGCCACAGCAGGGCATGATCCAACAACAACAGCAGCAGGTGCAGTTTCAAAATTTCCAAAATCAGTATCAGCAGCAGCAACAGCAGCAAGGCATGCAACAGCAAAGCGGCGGCGGAGGCGGCGTGGGAGTGGGCGTGGGCATGGCGCCAAATCAACAGCAACAACAAGCTGGCCTTATGAACAATTTCAATCCTCAAATGCAGCAAGCACAACGTAATAATCCAGACTTTATGGCTGCAGCAGTGGTGGCACAACAGCAGCAGCAGCAACAACAACAGCAGCAACAGCGCGGAGTGCCTGGCGGTATGATGGCCGGCAATCGTGGTCAATATATGAACCAAGCACCAAATGTGACCATGACCAACATGATGGGACCTGGACCAGGTGGGGTGGGCGTCGGAGTTGGGCAGGTACCGCCCTATGCACGACAGCAACCAACAGGTGGCGGCAAGCCGGGCGTATTGCCCGCACAGCAACAATTTCAGCAGCAGCAACTTCGTCACCAACAAATGATGCAAATGCAGGGCATGGCCGGTGGTGGCATGGGTGGCGGACCACAAGCTGGTGGCGGTGCGGGTGCCAGTGGTGGTGGAGGAATGGTCCAGCAACAGCAGAGCATGAATCAGCAGCAAACTCCTAATTTGGTTGCTCAGCTCCAACGACAGATGACCAATCAACCGAGCATGATGGGTCAGCAGCAGCAGTACCCGCATCAGCCCCCACCCTATTAGATACTAGGACTCTAATTTTGTAAGGCATTCACTTGTGTACGAATATTATTTATCAATGCTAAATGCAATAAATAATTATTTTATTTTTAAATGTTTCGATTTTGCGCGCGAAGGACTGCCCACTTAGCGTGGTCAACGATAGATGCGACTATCGATAACAAGATTACTGCAAACAGCTGTTCGTGACTTTCTGCGTTAGTATATGTGTGTACGTACATGGGTGCTCGGTAAATCAGAAAATTAATATCAGATTTATTGTAGATTAATTAAAATTAGTTTTAAGTTGAAAGTGAACTTGTGCAATACAATCAGTTCCTACCAATAAGACAACGAATGACCAACCATTGGGCAACATATTAATCCACTAAACCTAATTGTAACACAGCAAACGATTTCATTCATTGATCAACGTATTTGTACGTTTAGCATACGAGAAACAATCAATTGCATTTTCCATTTTACACTGGCCACATCAGTATTGTTTGTATTAGCGACGCAGGTGGACGTTTTGTTTGTTATTAACTGCCAGCGAAAGTCATGAATGAAGCACCTGAGCAGAGCAAAAAGCGTCAAAAGACGGTAAGTGTTTACACCTCATTTTTCGTTAGCTGCCTTCGTATTTGAACAAATGTGCCAAAGAAATAAATGCTGAAACGGTCACGAAACCCCCCAAAACGGGGTAAAAGTAAATTTGAATAGCTGTCGCACTGAACAAGCTGTCTTTATGTATTGCCATATCTATTGTTATGCACCACACGCAGTTGGCCTAAGCGTTTCCAGAGCGTTATCAAGCTTTTTCCGCATAATTGTTTCTTCTATGAAAAACACACGTAATACTTATTTCTATATCAACGCTGTGTCACTACAGCGAGTCTGCTAAATTCGCCTCTTAGTATCTAACATCAAAAAAGCTGCCTTAGTTTAATATGGCCTACATAGATAAGAACTTAATTACAAAAAAAGGCAACCGAAAAAAAGTCTCCATCAAAAATTACTTATCAGCAGCTTAATCAGAGCTTAATTAGATACTGAATAACATGTGCACAATTTATATATATTTTATACCTACGCCAGCAACTTGTTGACTTTGCAAAAAAAGGTGCCTTAAGCGTGAAGTGAATTAACGTGGAAATAAATAGCATTTTGTTTCCATATGAATATTTGTAAAGCCACGTGTTTCATTTGAGATGTTCATAGGAATTTAACTAATTTGGGCTGATAAGTAGTTCGCCCTAGAATTAGCGCTTATATCAATTACAAATTTAATGATTTTCACAAAAAAATACAAAGTAGTTGCACATATTGTTTTTCACATCATTTATTTCTATGTGAATAACTTTGAATTCATCTGTTTATATAAACATATTTCGTTGAACTAATTTTTTGTTCGCAACGATTTGTTTAAATTAATTTGCTAAATGAAAAACTAAAAATAAACATTTAAGCCGTCTACCGACATTTTCTATGCCTTCCTCTTGACATCCACTTTTAAAAGAATTATTATTGTTTTTAAATTTGTTTTATTTAAGCTTTCGTATATTAACTTTTACAGTTGTAATCAAGATGCAGAGTCAACTTAGTAAAAGTGTAGTTTTAAATTTCAATCAAGGACATATACTATCTATATATTATTACAGATTTCAACATAGTCCATCCTACCACGTAAGGTTTCATGCAATTATGCAAACACCAAATTATTCGAATATATTTAAAGTCGTGTAATATGAAGATCTGGTTTTTCAAAAACATATTTTTTGGGCTTGAAAAATATTATCTTTAGTATTATCAAGATATTATTTTCTAAAAGAGAATTGATAAAAGATAGGAAAGACTTGAGTTAAGATAAGTGCGAGCCAGAAAGAAAGAAAGAGCGAATAACATTTAAATAAAAAAGATATCAGTTTGTGTTGCGAGGCACAAGATCAGTAGATACCGTAACTGTATTTATAAAATATAATAAAAATAAAACAAAAAATATAAATATATCTTAAAGCACCGGCCCGATGTAAACGAAAATCAAAGGGCTATTCATTTCAAAATATAACGTTACCAAATTGTATAATAAAAAAAAAACAATATATATATATAGAGAAAAATACACTCTATATACTATTTATTTGATTTTTCAACTGTTTTAGATAAGAAAGTAGGCGATTATATATATATTATATATTTATAAATAAAGATAATAATCGTTGTATTGGCCACTTAAGGGCCTAAAACTCTGTTAACTGATTTTAAAGTACTTTAAAGAGTGTCTGCAGTCAATTATCAATTAATGTATGATTAAATTAAATAAGGCAGGCCAAGAAAAGTGTTAATTTATATACTACAAAAATAGTAATATTTAAACGAATAGCATATTTACTTATAAATATATATAACTAACTACTTTCTTACCTAAGATCTTGGCTAATTAGAGCATTAAAGCCCATATATATATATATATATATATATATATATATATATATATATATATATATATATATATATATAAATCTATATAGCATATGAAGTTTATATATATATATATTTAATTATTTTTATAATTCGTATTTTCAAATACTCTTCAGACAAGGCCTTTTGCCCGTCTGCAATCCGTTTAAAGACAGTTTATTGCCCCATAGATAAGGTAAACGTAATGTTAAAACTTATGCAATATGCAATCAACTGGTTTTTTAAGTGTTTGTACACTTGTTTTTTTATGACACACACACACACAAACACATTTAGTTTAACTACTTGAAATTAAAAAGAAAGTGTATTTTGTGGAGGCCAGAGTAAATATGTTTTGAGCCGACCTAACAAATTGTTAACAATTCGAAATAACTTTCTGTCTCACTCTGTCCCCATTCGAGTTGTTATTGCTGTTGTTTGTGGGAAAACTTGGCCAGTTATAGGTTGAATGACCAGTAGAGTATGCTAGGCGGCAAATCTTGCTAATTGTTGTTGTCTTTTTGTGTTATTGTCGTAGTAATGTAGTCAATAATTGTTATGAATTTATATTTGGGTTGCGTCTTCAATTGAACAATCGAATCATATATATACTAGCAACAATTACTACTCACTTGTTAATTCATATTGCATTGTTAAAGTGCCAAGTAATATTTTTATTTAAACTACAATTAACAGAGTTACCCCATAAACATCGTTAAGGCGGGCATATATATGAGGCTATTGCATAAACAGAAGGAACTACAAAGCTCCTACTACACACACATGATAGTTGTCTCATAACTAACAAATATAACATAAATCTTCCATTGATGCAATCTTAACATCAGGTAGGATTGCTTTGCGATAATCTTATCAAAGTTGATTGAATCAAAATTGATCTGCCTGATTGATAACGATTGTCCTCTTGTTGCAGTCGCGTAAACTTTAGAGACGCCTCAGGTAGAAAGTCCTACCTCAGTGACCGTATGAACCAGGTGTTTCCATATCTTAGGCTCGCTGAGTGTACCTTAGTTCTTACGAAACGGATACTCTAAACTCAACTCTAAAGGGTTTTTAAAGCAGCTAAAATAAAAACCGAAACTCCAAAGCAACTAAATTTACAATAACAAAAAAATCAAAACTTAATAGTTAGTTACTATTATTCATAGAAATATATTTTCTAATTAGGAATAATAAAAAAAAATAATTATTTATGGTAAATTTTAAGTTGTCCAGGGTATTCATATTCGAATACCGCAATTCTTCCGGACTTGTCGATATGCGAAATGATTAAGCATTTTATAATCTCACTTAATTGCTGGATATTTTTATGTCATCGCTAAAGGTATAGTAGTTATTCCAGAGCATTTGTTAGTCCTAAGGGATTTATACTTAGCCTTTTCGTTTGCTTTACAAATGTAAATGTAATTAAAAAGTTGCTTGCATGTAAAATTTAATTCATTTAAACGTGAACTTGAAGCTGTTTTGCAATTCATTCAGCCTCTGCTTAGGCACGAGTGCTAATGTGGTTTTTCTTTTCAGTTTCTTTTTGTTTGTAATTACTATTACGTAGTTAAAAAAACTATAAATCTAAAATGGAAATGTCAGTGGTTATTATGGCATTTGCTGAGACTTCATTTAGCTTGGAATTCGAGTTTTAATTTGCAAAGTTAAACAAAAAGATACTTAAGAACAGAAGCTAGCAATAGAAAAATGATTCTTTTAATATTTTATTAGTCTTACTCTTAAAAAAAAAATTAAAAATAAAAAAAAGTTTTTTTTTTCAATATTATCTAGAATTTAATTAACAGAAAGTACATATAGACTTAATGAGAGCCACATCAAATGAATTACTTAATTAAATATTATATTTTTGATAAATATTATGAAATGTCATTAATCATATTACAGAATGAAAATCAGATATATGTCGAAATACAACTATATTTTTATAAAATTTATTTATAAGTTTATTGATTGTTTTAAATGACATTTCCTCTGGTATATTATGCTTTTGTGAGACATTAAATTTGTGCTTTAACGAATTCCTTTTTCTGCCAATAGTTGACCAGCGAGCTATACATATATCTATATATATATATATATATATATATATATATATATATATATCTTCAGTTACGTTTTCCCACTCTGGGCTGCATTTATTCCACGCCACTGTGAAGAAATATCAGTTGCAGTTTTGAGCTTCGTCGAGAAAGTTCAGCGGGTTTTGGTTTTGGTTTTGGTTTTTGTTTTGGTCTTTTTCATTTTTATATTTTTTCTCATTTTTGCGGTGGAGAAAAAACTCACTTCGAAAACTCTCACTTGTTTAATTATCAGTCTCGTTGCCTGTTTAGTGTCTGCTTTCTTTTCGAGCGTTATTTGTTTAAGACTACCTAAAATGTTTACAAAACGCGCCAATTTGCTCAGAAGTGAATACAAAAACAACAACAACAACATCAACAACAATAACAATAACAATAATAATAATAACAATTACAGTTGTTTGTTAAGTCACGAAAAGTGCAGCGACTTGGTAAGTTTTTGTTGTCTTCTTTTGTTTTGTTTACATAAAAATATGTAAACAATTTCTAAATCGTGCCAAAGTTGAGTCGCAAAGGTCTTGACATTGATTTTTAAACTCTCGACCTCTTGAAATATACGTGGAATGTTTCAATTTTTTTGTTTATTTATATTTTGCTAGACGAGCAGATTGTTATTTGAAAATTTCAAAGAATCTCGATTTTACTCAGTTATATAAGATTTTTTAAATTTCTTTAAATTTCAATAAAGTTAAATTAGAAATTACATGAAATGACTATTACTTGCAGCTACTTCAAGCCGTATTGCGACGTATCTTTTAGCCAGGCCACGTTGCTTAATGAAATTTTTCAAATTTTGCACTATAAACAATTTGGTTTGCCAATACAATTTATATGGGGAGAAATTTGTTAGGTAAAACTTTGTACTTATATTTTATTTTGTTAACGTTGAAATTAATTAATTAATTTTGTTTACAAAAAAAACTTAAAAAAATAGTAAGTGAATATTTATAGACTTTTATTTTCTTTTACCTATGCAAATTATTGTTGCTTGACTTCATCTGAGAATCCAAAGGAAACTTGTATTAAAGTGAAAAAATAATTGTATTTTTAACTATTTAATAATGCCTGAATAATTCAGCAGAGAATTTAAAAAAAAGACGAAATGCGTAAACAAATTGTTAAACAATCTTTCATAATAATAATAATGCACAACAAACAGAAATACTTGAACGCTGGCTGCCTGGCTTGGCAGATAGAAAAACGATCTGAAAACCAGATGGAACCGAGCGTGAAGCACTCGGCTTGACGCGCTCTCTCCCTCTCTCTCTCTCTTTCTCTTATAATAGCTCTCGGTATCTTAGTTCGGGTCGGGTCGACATATAACACGGTAAATATTTTAGTAAAACTTTCAGTTGGCTTTCAGCGCTCGTTGCGTGAATATTTAACTGAGATCAAATTGCCGTTCGATAATATATCATATTATATATACATATATCTATTCCGTTTCTTCAAGCAAAGCTCAAGTGCATCGAGTATAACAATTTCATTCGGCATCAAGCAGAGAAAGCTAAATCATGCCCAATCCGCCCATTGGCTTTTTTCCTCATATCAAAAGAAGGGTATGGCTGAAGCTCTCAAGAGAATTTGAGAGATCTGCGCATGCGCACTCCGTGCTGTTCCAAAACAAAAAAGAGTTGAAGTGTTTTGTTAAAGAATATTAAATGTGTTTCAAATCAAGTTGACGTTAAGTGTGCCTTGACCCAAATTTATTTGCCAACAATTGTAGAACTACAACTGAAGCTCGACTCGAGTTTACCCTGTAGAAGTTCCTAGACGATATTTGGCGTTTATATGTGGAATATATTTCAGATATAAATGAAGCAAGTGGCTCATAAGCACTTAAGTATTTCAAGCTAAACTAATAAATCGAATTTGTATAATTTTATTTATTTTTACTGAATACGACTCTAAGCAAATGTGTTTTGTGCTTAACTAATTAATTTGAATTCCAATCGAAACTCGAAGAGATTTTCTCTTCTTTCATTTGTCCTAAGGCAAAGGTGTATTATTCCACGCTCCATGGGCTGGCATGGTCTGGCCGCTCTTTGAATGCTTTTATTATGTTTTGCTTTCATCTATCTATTGGATATACATATGCATATATATACACATATATATATGGTATCATTATCTCATATTCCCTCTGTGTAACAGCATTTGCGATTTTTCACACACGAGTTGGCGAGTTGGCGAGCTGCTCGTCTGAAAGGGTCAACAAACTGTGCAGATTCAGCGAATTGAACGGCACAAATAGCGCCTTAGGGTCAAAATAAGAGCCCCAAACCACTAGCCAGAGTCGGGCATGAATATTAATTTATGTTAATTTATCGAGACGCCCGCAGCTACATAAATTCTATTATGTTGGTGTATAAATTAGATTTTGTTGTCTTTTGCAGTGCCTCCAGGTCGCAACGAATGTGACCGAACAGAAGCATCATGTCACCCGGGAGACTCGAGGCAGGAATTTGGGATTGTGTCGCGGCTTTAGGGGCTGCACCGTGTGGCTAACAGGTGAGCGATGCGGCCTCTAGTTTTAAATAATATTAAAAACATTTTGATAAATTAGGATCAATTATTTATGGTACCAAATACGAAATGTACATTAAATAAATGTAAAGAAATATTTAATATTGAAATAAAAAATGTATAAACCATTAACATATGTTAATTAACATTGTTGAAATGATGAAAGATGTTGGGCTCATTATAAAATATAAATAAAATAAATTAAATATAAATTTAAGTAAAACTCATAATATTTGCTCTATTATTCAGCTGTGGATTCCGATCAAAAATATATATATAAATATATATATATTTGTTGGGTCGCTAGATCTATCCGAAATCATTTAACAGTATGAATTGGCGAATGACCATAGAGAGGTCATACTGTACATAAAACTATGTTATAATCTATTTAATGCTGTTCACGGGATAAAATATCTTTAAAGGATTTTCTTAACTTTAAAATAAGAATTTAATCAATCCGTATTGCTAATGCAAAGGCTTATATTAGTATTAATAATAAAAACATTTTTTTGTAGGTCTTAGTGGAGCCGGGAAAACGTCGATTGCCTTTGAGCTGGAGGCGTATCTGGTCTCGAGAGGTATACCCGCCTATGGCTTGGATGGCGACAATATACGCACCGGTTTGAATAAGAATCTTGGCTTTACGCCTGCCGATCGGGAGGAGAATATACGGAGGGTGGGCGAGGTGGCCAAGCTGTTTGCAGATAGCGGCGTTGTGGCCATCTGCAGCTTTGTGTCGCCTTTTGCGGACGATCGCGAGATGGCGCGCAAGATACACAAGGATGCGGGACTGAAGTTCTTCGAGATCTTTGTGGATACGCCGTTGGCCGTGTGCGAAACGCGCGATGTGAAGGGGCTGTATAAGAAGGCGCGCGAGGGCGTCATCAAAGGCTTCACGGGCATCACCCAGGAGTATGAGCGGCCCCAGCATCCGGAACTGGTGGTCAGCACGGATGACTGCACGGTGCGCGAATCTACGCAACAGCTCGTCGCACTGCTGGAGCAAGAGGGCATCATTCCGCGTTCGCTGCGGGATGTCGATCAGCTGCCAGAGCTGTATCCCAGCGAGGCCAGCGAAGTAGACGAACTGAGACAAGAGGCCAAAGCACTGCCGGCTCTATCAATTAGCACCGTCGAGCTGCAATGGGTACAGGTACTGTCTGAAGGCTGGGCGTATCCATTGCGTGGCTTTATGCGAGAGGACGAGTATCTGCAGACGCTGCATTTCAATACGCTGCAAAGTGGCCTAGACGTTTCCTATCGTGAGAACCATTCGGTGCCCATTGTGCTGAGCGCCAGTGAAGCAGATAAGCAGCGCCTGGAGGGCGAGGCAGCTGTGACGCTGCAACATGAGGGTCAAGCGGTGGCCATACTACGTCGCCCGGAGTTCTATTACCAGCGCAAGGAGGAACGTCTGTCGCGCCAGTTTGGCACCAGCAATCCTAATCATCCGTACAGCAAACAGGTGTACGAGTCCGGAGAGTATTTGGTTGGTGGGGAGCTGTCGGTCATTGAGCGTATACGCTGGAAAGATGGCCTCGACCAGTATCGTCTAACACCCAATGAGCTGCGCTCGCGCTTTAAGGAGCTCAATGCGGATGCTATCTTTGCCTTCCAGCTGCGTAATCCCATCCACAACGGGCACGCGCTGCTCATGCAGGACACCAAGCGGCAACTGCTGGAGCGTGGCTTCAAGCAGCCGGTGCTGCTGCTGCATCCACTGGGCGGCTGGACCAAGGATGATGATGTTCCTCTGCAGGTGCGCATGGCTCAGCATCAGGCGGTGCTCGATGCGGGCGTACTGCGACGCGAGGACACCGTGCTGGCCATATTCCCATCGCCCATGATGTACGCCGGCCCCACGGAGGTGCAATGGCATGCCAAGGCGCGCATGAATGCGGGCGCCAACTTTTATATTGTGGGACGTGATCCGGCCGGCATGCCGCACCCAGACAAAGAGGCCTATCCAGATGGCAATCTCTACGATGCGACGCACGGTGCACGTGTGCTCAAAATGGCACAAGGACTGGACAGCATGGAGGTGGGTGTAATGAAACTGCCCACTGGAATTAATCATAAATTCACTCATTCAATATTCTCTAACATTTAGATATTGCCTTTTCGTGTGGCAGCCTACGATAAGTCTGCCAGCCGCATGGCCTTCTTTGAACCGCAACGCAAGGAGCAATTTGAGTTCATTTCGGGCACCAAAATGCGCACGCTGGCCAAAACCGGGGCCAGTCCGCCAGATGGTTTTATGGAACCGCAGGCCTGGAAAATACTCGCTACCTACTACCAAAATCTACCACAGGCGTAACCCGGGAGCCAGCTAAAACAATGTTGAGGGCCGTCCCGCACAACAATTAGTGCAATTTGCTTAGCTATATATATATATATATATATATTTTATATATATACTGTCGTGTCCTAGGTGTTTCCACTATTTACATATTTTTATATATATTATGTTTGTTGTTCAATATGTATGTATCTGAGACGCATATCCTAATACCTGTCTCGAGTCAACTTATCTACCCTTATCTTAATCTTTCTAGTTTGTATGTGTCTTGTGAGTGTGCATGGTTTGCTCTGCTGCATTATTCTAATCTTACAATTAATTGTGTTTAACTTTAAGTTTTCCAATTCCATTTTTTATGTTAAGCTAAGAATTTGTCGTTTCTTGAACTGATTTCCAAAAATTAAAATGCATTTTTTGCAATCAATGCATTTAATAAATGACTATCAAAATTTTTATCACAACTACGAAAAACTCTTGAAATTCTTTCTAATCCTCCTGCTTTAAATTAAATAAAGGGGCAACCGGGCAGGTTATAGATAGTTACTTCGTTGTAAATATATAATAAATAATGCATTTTTGCACATGATTTATTTTATAAAATTGTATACGTTTAATAATTAATATTACAAGTACATACATAATTAATTAATTAATTAATATCAAATATGCATTTAGATTTAGTTATCAATTAATTTCACAATATGTATTTTTGCTGCTCTGCATTTATTCTTTTTCATCGCATTGTTTTCTTCGTATTGCATATGCGCATATCTTTTTTAATTATTTATTATTATTTCCATCTACTCACACAAATATTAATCGTATTCGTGTGTTCAATTAGAGATTAACGGTCTGTTTATTGACAATGTATTATGAAGCACCCGCAACTATTAGAACTTGCCATATCTAAGTGAATCGATATCAAAATTGTGCGTCTGAGTCTAAATTGCGTCCGGCGAACTTTTCATGAGTTGTTGAGTTTGTTGTCGAGCAAAAGGTGTGAGAACTAAATTAAATTAAATTAAATATTCGTAAATGAGCATAAATGTAGAGCAAACGGAATCGAAATATTTATATAATATATGAATACATATATTTATTTTCTACTTTATTGTTTTGTCATTGGTTTACAAATCGTGAACAACCATGGCTGCATATTTCTTGCGACAGAAAATTTAAAAATTATACATTGAAACTGATAAGAAAAGTAAAATGAAAACTGTAACTGATCGGAGCGGAGGGCAGGGCGAGGGCGGGTTGTATGTTTTGTTGTTTCGTTAATTTTTCAGTTTACGCTACTCACAATACTCGTGTTATTTTTAGTTTTTGTTTGTTTTGTTTTTTTTTAGCGTTAAATGAATATTGAATGTGCATAGATCCATATTGATGCATATTTCGTACATCTTATCGCCATGTCTCGTTCGCATAAACAATTTTACCTCTTCTATTATTATATTATTATAATTATGTATTTTTTCATTATGTTGCATATTCAGGGGTGTTTGCTCGCTTGGTTGTTGTTGTTAGGACTTAACAGGAGTTAAGAAAACTACTACCACATACATTATCATTATTATTTCCACCATGCCGCATCAGTGCCACACGCACATTGCCACGTCAAAGCAAACTGCATCTTGATAGCCAACTATCCTTTGTTCGAATCTCTGTTAGTTTCAGCTGATGACCGCCCTTCGGTGGATTGTTCGCCTCCTGCACGAGTAAAAATATTACAATGTTATAATTGATAACGATCACGATGCTCGACCACTTACCATACGCTTTTCCGTTTTCGCTTTGATATCACTGGCGAGCGTGAGAAAAGCCTCTTCAACATTGATGCTTGCTTTCGCGGAGGTCTCCATGAATTTAATGCCATATTCAATGGCTAACTGTTCGCCACGTTCCTTTGAAACCTGCAAAAGGAAATGATCGTTAAGTCATTGAATTTTCAAAATAAATCGCTGTGGAGTATAATAATAACCTGTCTCTTATCATTTAGTTCGCATTTGTTGCCCAGCAGCATTTTCTCAACATCGGCGGCGGCATTCTCTTCGATATTTCGTATCCAGTTCTTTATGTTCTCAAACGATTTCTCCTGTGTTATGTCATACACCAGCATAATACCCATGGCACCTCTGTAATATGCCGTGGTGATCGTTCGGAAACGCTCCTGGCCAGCAGTGTCCCTTAAATGGTTTTTAATTAATGAATTTATACAACATTGTTTTTTTTTTTTGATAACTTACCATATTTGCAATTTGATTTTCTTGTTATCCAATTCAATTGTTCTAATTTTAAAATCGATACCTGTGAATAAAGTAAAATAAAGAGAAGAGAGAAGACATGTGATAAGCAAAAACTCAGCAATAAATTAGTTTAGATCATTTTTGGCAGCTGAGTTCCTCTCGCCCATCTGTTAGAGAGCTGACATACATATCTGCATAGACTAAGACTACAAAAGAGCACAAGAGACAGCAGTTGAAAATACGCAATTGATTCGAGACGTTGGCGTCGTTAAGTAAATAACCCAAATTGGAATTAGTGCAGGGAAATGTGCCAAATATATAAATAGACAAATTGCTGAGCTCGTGCCATGTGTGTGGGATGTGTCTCAATGCTGTCTCAAGCTGCTAGAACCCCTCTCAATGAGACTTGACTGTGAAATGGATGCTTATCAGCTCACAACTCATGGCAACGAATTTACACTAGACTTGAAGATAGTTTAAAAACAAAACAGTCGACTGTGGTGCAATGACACTGGGTTAAACAAACAGCGCTTATCGATTTCTTTTCAGCTTACAAAATAATATCTTATCATGTTTGGTATTTGGGTTTCAGCATTTAATAATATGTTAAATTGGTCACTTTCTTTTTCTCTATTTAGTTTGTCTATGGTGGGTTGCTGCTGATCCCCTTTGCACTACGTCCTTGTTCATAGAACAACATCAACAACGATATAATTATGACAAATAACATTACTGAGAACAAGAAAAGAGCATACAAAATGAGTCACGTATTCGTGTTTGTATGTTTGTGTGCATGCTACTTACAGCTGAGCCAAGAGACGAGATTGAGAGCATGAACATGAATACGCAAATATGTTTGTATGTATTTGTATGATATGCGATTGCTGCCCGGCGGCGTCATAATTAATTAAAAAATTTCACAGAGCAAAAGAGCGCAAACGAGAGAGAGAGAGAGCAGTGTTGATTACTGAGGATGACAGACTGCGAGCTATGACTGATGATGTATGCACTTTGAAATGTTTGGTTTGTTGGCTGATGTTGATATTGTTGTTGTTGTCAGCTCTGTGTTTTGTATACATGGTGGATATTGATAACACTTACCTATTGTAGATATAAATGTCGTATTGAAAGCATCCTCTGAGAATCGAAACAATATGCAAGTTTTGCCAACTCCAGAATCACCGATCAGCAGCAATTTGAACAGGTAGTCGTACGTTTTGGCCATTGTATTTATGTTGTTGTATTTGTATGATTAAATCACAGTTTTGCTTCGGATTGTGCCAGGTTCTTTTGTTATAGATGCAGCTATTTGCTCTTTAATTTCTTCTCTTCCTTTTTGGCGTTATCGTCCACGTCGATAACTGCTGGTGATGCTTTTGTTATATGGCGGTGGTTGGTAATCAGTGGTTTTCGATTAATATTACACACTATGTTAATGTCGACGATTAAATTACTATAACTGGCTATTGCTGCTGCTGCGGGTTGGTATTAATTTATATGTACGTAAGGGTATGTATAAAAAATTCATAGACGTAACCACACACAGCAGACACAAATAAACACACGCAAGCACGCACAGGTTTTTTCAGCTCTGACTGTGGTTTTCTTTTGTGTGTATGTCGAAAAATGGCGACGTAGTTTTAAGCACTTTAAATTGCAATAGTAAATGGACGCGCGCTGTTTTACACTTGTATGTACTGCACTTGCAATTGTGTGCTGTGTTGTTGTTGGTTACACGTAAAAATTACGCTTAATTATTGCTTTCTAATTACGCCCGAACAATAAATGATTGGTACGTAGCAGTGTTGTGTAGGACGAAAACGAGACGATTTATCGATAAGCAGTGTTGCCAAACGTGCTTGGGCAACTATTCAGACAGCTGTTCGATTGTAGTAAAACTGCTAAACAGCTGCTTATTTTCTAATGTCTCGAACTTACAGTATTTTTTATGTCACGAGCGTGGTCACACTGAGCGCTGATAGTTAAAAATTATAAGCGAACGCGAAACTAGTAAAGCAATGAAAGTGTGACAAAAAACAAAGTGTTTTAAAAAATAAAATACAACAAAAGCTGCTTTTTGCATGTACATGACTCTGTGTCTGTGATTTACCCTCAAGGCCCGACAACGGCAACAAATAACATAAACAAATGTAAGAAGTGAAGTCACAAGACGACGACGACGACGCCAGCAGCAGAAGCACTCTAGAATTGCCGTAGGCAAATATGGGTACAAAAGAATCCAAACATGCTTGCATCAGTTACGAGGATGCAGTCAAACGTGGTAAGTGCTAACCTCCAATATACATGTACAGGTGCAATTGCTCGCTGTGTTCCAGACAACAAAAATGGGTCACTCAAGTGCTTCAGGTTCTAGAACAAAAACAATAATAATATGCACCAATACAGGTATAATCGCACTATCGATTCTATTGTTGTTTCCACTCTACTTCCATGCTTTTATTGCTGCCCTTTTGTTGCTGGAATCAGCTAATTCTTTTCATTTTCGTCTTATTCTATTGGGATTTTTTTGTGCAAATTTCAACACTGTATGTGTGCGTGTATAAGTGTTTGCATATGTGTATGAGTATTTGCGTCGTCGCCTTCAGTGACGTCACAATAGAAAAGCACAGCAACCGCGTTTTTCTCGTGGCGGGGGGACGAATGTAGCTTTGAGACAAAGCAAAATTGCAGACAAGGCATGCAATCAAACAAAAACAGTTAATATTTATTGTTGGGCCTCTCTCATCATTTAGAATCTGATGTACACGCAATGACGTTTAAGTTTTTGTTGACTTCTCTAATATTCTCTCGCTTTACATTGGCATTCATCTCGCTGCTGTCGTTGTTGTTCCTCTTGTTCTTGTCGTTGTTGTTGTTGTCGTTTTATGACCAGCCGCGAAGCCAAAGAAAACGAACGTTACTGATAAGATGGCCCCGTCTATATACCTGTACGGCTATACTTGCTGCCCAGGTGCGGGTGTCCATTGTTGACGTTGTCGTTGTTGTTATTGGCGCAAAGCTTTTCAAGACCGGTTTGTTTCTTGTGAAAACGTATGCAAGTCCAGTTCGGACCATTCCCCCTCTCTCTCTCCGCTTGAAATGCACTTAATAATGCAACGCAATGCAGAAATTTCTGTCAATGCAGCAAAACAACAACAAAACCCGCTATTAAATACCGTTGGTCGCGTGATGTCGCATAGTAAATAATTCTTTGCAATCACAAAATTATTCCTCATTGCCTTTTCATGCTCGATTTGCGATTATGAATTGCTGCCTATGTTTAACTCGAACTGCCACGCCCAGTAATTCTAGTCGCCCCTTCTCATAAGTCTATTAATAATGGACTTTATTGTATGGTTAATTGATTACGTGTATTACGTTTAGAACGATTTGTTTGCTTGTGTTTTTGTTTACGGGCTCTAACGTAGCGGGTTTACATTATCTTAACGTTTGTTCACACACACATAATGAGAAGGCAAATGCATGACTCCCAATAATATATACATTACAGTTGGGATTTATTTTTTTATACACATGTGACTAAGCACTTCTCAAATAACGAGTTTATACAAAATTCCAATTTAATTTGCGAAAATTGTTTGTTTAAAATATAGTTCTACGAGTAGTTATTTGCTGTACTCGGGCTAAAAATATCTTTTTATAGAGTTAGAGGTTTTTAGAAAACAGAATTAGTAATAATTTAGTACTTCCAATTTACACTCTACTAGTCAAGAGTTATATTATCTAAGTTTTAATTAGCTCCACGTTAATACGGTTTAACCCATCAACTAATATGAATATGTTATTTAATTAAAACAGTTAGCGACGCCGAGTTGCGACGTCTTAAAGATGCCTTCAAGAAATCAGCTGGCGTGGGTCGACTCTATCTCAGTCGCAATGCATTCCAGCAGGATGTGCTGTGCGAGGGAGTGCCGCCGAAGATTACGGACATGCTTTATGTTGCCTGTGGTGGCACACAGCGCGGCATATCCTTGAAGGACCTGCTGTGCGGCCTAGTGCTGATCACGCGCGGCACTCAGGAGGAGAAAACCAAGTAAGTAGATCCTAAGAAACACATTTATTTTTATTATAAATATTCCTATGCCATCGATAGATTTCTGTGGAACCTCTATTGCAATGACGCTGGTACCTACATTATTAAATCTGATTACGTGCGCAATGTGAACCTGGCCCCCTTCGAGAGCGTCTCCCTGTTTGCCCAAGGCGAACGTGTCAACTTTGAACAGTTCCAGGACTGGATAGTCAAGCATCGCAATGCAACAGTCCTGTCCAACTGGCTGCTTGCCGACAATTGCGTCAGTCTCACCTCCGAGCTGGAGACGCCCACCTTTTATCAGAGTCTAGCCGGCGTTACGCATCTTGAAGAAAAGGTAATATCAAAGAATTTATTTTTGAAACATTTAGTAACCTTATCGATTTGTTGTAGGATATTGGTGACTTAGAGAAGGAGTTCTGGCGTTTGAAGAATACCTCGCAGAATGGCCAGATCGATTTACAGTTTTTGGGACCGCTCATTAGTCCGCCGATACCAAAGAATGCGCTGACCGGTCTCTTTAATGCCTTTGACGAAAACCGTGATGGACACATCGACTTTAAGGAGCTTTGCTGTGGCGTCAGTGCCGCTTGTCGTGGACCCGGTGTAGAGCGCACCCGCTGTAAGTGCTTCTCAAGAGAATCCCTACTCAGTCTGACCCAATTTCTTTCCATTTGGTAGTCTGCTTCAAGATCTTCGACGTAGATCGCGATGGTGTGCTCAATCATGAGGAGACGCTGCAAATGATCAACGTCCTGTTATTCGTTGCCAAGGAGAATCGCGATGCGCAGCAATTTAAGGACTTGACCAACCAGCACGTGATTAGTGATCTGGTAGAGTTTGCCCAACGCAGGAGTCCAGATGGCGTGCCCAGCACGCTTACACGGGACAATGTTTCACTGACAGCAGAGGATTTCATGATATGGAATGTGCAGTGCGGTCTACGGCTGATGCAGCCGCTGTTGGACCTAATCTTCGAGCTGTGCCACATAGTGTTCGGTCTGTGGCCGCAATGCAAGCACATGGAGTACGATATTGTGCGCGGCTGGTTACAGCGTGAGGAGCGACGCCCCTACCGAGTTGGCCAGTTCTGGTATTTGATATCACGTGACTGGTGGCTCACCTGGATGCAGTACACGCAGCACACGTCTCAAACATGCGACTACTGCAAGCGTACGGCCAGCCAGCGTAGCGCTGTGGATGAAGCGCTCGTTTGTGATGAGAGCTTCAACACGCACAGCCTGGAGCAACACGATAGCTATTCGCTGGGATCGGTATCCGGTAGCAGTGGCATATCCGCCGGCCGGCACTGTGGTCAACACCGTCCGGGCCCCATTGACAATAGCAATCTGATTACCGCCAATCCCTATCGCAATGTACGAACTTTGACAGGCGAAGGCGGGCATCTGAAGCGCGATACGCCACTTGTACAGAACCACGACTTTGAGCTGGTGCCCAAGTCGCTATGGAAAGCGGTGAATCGTTGGTATGGCGACAATCTACCGCTGCCCAGACAGGTAAGACAGCAGGCCACAGGCACTCTTTACTTCAACTAAGCCTCATTTGTTTTTCTGCAGGTGATACAACCACCAAACTTGGAGGTAGAGCTAGAGCTATATCCATTAAATCTGCGCATACTACTGCATCAGGTGCAGACGGCGCCTAATAGCAGCGGCGCAAGCACACAAATTACCAGCTGGGGCTCAACAACTAGCGGTGGATACGGCGTCTTGGCCTCTGGCGGCGGCTATGCGGCCATTGCAGCCAGCAGCGTACTTCAACCGCCCAAGCGCTACTTGGCGTATACGGCGGCATTTAGCCGGCTGGCCACAGTGCGTCAGGTGGGTGAGTTTCTGTGCGAACAGCTGCGTCTGAAGCCGGAGGATATACGATTGTGGCACGTGCCACCTTCGAGCGCATCACTAGATAATAGTGCCATACTGTTGGAGGAGGATACCATGTGCCTAAAGGAGCTGCTGATACGTGACAACGATCAGCTGCTGCTAGAGATACGTAACAAAGATCTTACCTGGCCCGAGGAGCTCAGCTCGCTGGCCAGCACGCAGAGCGGTCAAGTTGGAGCCGGTCCTGGCGACCGGCGGCGTCTAACGCGTACCTCCATCATGTCTGTACACGCACCAGGCGCCACTGGGCTACACAATCTGGGCAACACCTGTTTCATGAATGCTGCACTCCAAGTGCTCTTCAATACGCAACCGCTGGCCCAATACTTTCATCGTCAGATGCATCGCTTCGAATTGAATGCGGCCAATAAGCTGGGCACACGTGGCCAACTAGCCATGCGCTATGCGGAGCTGCTCAAGGAAGTGTGGACGGCCACAACTCGCTCTGTGGCACCACTCAAGCTGCGCTTTTGTGTAAACAAACATGCCCCGCAGTTCGCTGGCGGCGGGCAACACGACTCGCAAGAGCTGCTTGAGTGGCTACTCGATGCGCTTCACGAGGATCTAAATCGTGTTATGGAAAAGCCATATAGCGAGCTGAAGGACTCCAATGGACGGCCCGACAAGATTGTTGCCGCAGAGGCATGGTCACAGCATCATGCACGCAATCAATCCATAATCATAGATCTGTTCTATGGACAGCTAAAGTCAAAGGTCAGCTGCCTGAGCTGCGGTCACGAGTCTGTGCGTTTCGATCCTTTTAGCTTGTTAAGCTTGCCCCTGCCCGTGGAGAACTACGTGTATCTGGAGGTGCTAGGTCAGTCAATTACAGCTAAAATTTTCTATCAATCCAATATTATTCTCCGCCTATATCCTTGCAGTGATCCTTTTGGATGGCAGTGTTCCAATTAAGTACGGCCTGCGACTTAACTCGGAATGTAAGTACAGCGACTTAAAGCAAAAACTGGCCACGCTGTGCCCACTGCAGCCAAGCCTCATGCTGGTTTGTGAGCTCTGGAACTCGCAGATACGCCAGGTAGTTGCCGATGAGGAGAAGCTGCGCACACAGAGCTCTAAGGATTTATACGTGTATCAGTTGCCCGAACAGAGCAGCGTTAGAACGCGCTCTAATTCGGCGCTCAGCATGCATATTGAACAGGGTCTCAAGGACATACAGCGAAGCTCTGGTATGTCACATACAGTCCATAGAGAGTGTTACCAGTTAACATACAACTGTTGCTTACAGCGCTCATTACAACACAAGACTCACTGTCGTCGCTTAGCACGCTGCAGACATCGAACCGATCCTCGTCACGTGTCATCTGCAATGGGCATATCAGTGATGGGCAGGACCCAGCTGGCCCTGATGGAAGCCATGAGTTAACCAAATACAGCAACGCTAACACCAACATCAGCAGCAGCAGCGTTGGCCACGTGCACGAACTGCAGCCAGATGATGCCGGAAAGGTAAGCCGGTGCTTTGGAAAGAGAGAGTGCATGCCCCACAGTCTTTTTTGCTTCAAGGTATGGCTTCTAAACTATATTAACATACACGTATTTAATATGTTAGATTCATGGACCCGTCGAGGGTTACATTCAAATTGATATTTTGTAAAATTCCCCATTGCCTAGGATAAACTCGCTCCAGCGACGAACCCCTGCAAAACGAAGATTATCAAGATTTTTAAATCAATATTCCGGCGTAACTGGCATTCATTTTCGCCCCCCTCCGTCTATTGTCGCAATACATAATATACAAATCGATATCGAACAAATCTATATATATTAAATACAAATATGTTAAAAGAACAGTTGCCGTTTCAGTTTCTGTTTGGTTTGTGGGCCACCTACCTATAATGTACAACCAACCAAACACCCAACCATCCACACCTGTCTAAACTTCTAATTGTTCTTTGATTTCGTATACAACGCACTTATTCAACTAGTCTAAATCTCGGAATATAAATATACTCGTATTTTTAGTAGTTTATTGTTATTTCTATGCTCCTCTTAATACTAATACACACTCCTATTTAGTTTGTTGATGGCTGTAATCAAATACCTATTTGTAAATTTTTGCTTTAAACTATTTCTAATGTTATAGACTCACCAATTAGCTTCTATCGTTATCGTTATCGTTATCGTTATCGTTATCGTTACTGCTGTCGGTTATCGTTACATCGAATATGCAAAACTTATAATTTAACTGTACCTGTTCTTTTGTACATTTGCCCTCGTCATCAAAGGTACAAGTAGCCAACTGACATTTTCATAGCTTTTCAATTGTACGCAAGGGTGATTCGCTATAACTTATAATTCCAATTAATTATGATAAATCTTAATTTGCTAATTTTATGATTCTTTTCGTCATTCATCACACTATTTGAGAGAGAACTTTCGTTGCTTTCAACATCACACTTCTTTCACAGATTGATTAAAATAGAGCTTAAAGACCACAGATATTTCAATATAATTCTCATTTCTCTCGAATCATCCTTTTCTGTACACATTGCAAATGCTATTCTACTCATTTCCACCGCAGAAACTACCAATTATGCCAACTAATTAATTAAAGTACAAATTTTAATATATGTTCTTATATAGTATATACAATATATATCAGCTAATTTGAACACCCGCAATAAAAAAATAATTTCCGATTTCTGTAGATTTTTGAGCGTTTATCCTAGTTTATAAAAACCGTTGCCTTTAATCATCGAGTAGTAATTGTTAATTGTTTAAATTCCATGAGCTTTAAGATACACACATTCACACTCACACACACTTACATAAGTGTAAGTTACGCACAACTAATGCAAATCTTCCGGCCACCTTCATTGGTACATCCGACACAGGAGTCGCTGGTGCTCAGCTGCAGCCCGGAGAACACATTCATGGACGATGCGATGGCACAACAGAAGCGCATCTCATCCACCAAGCTGCTGCACACGGAAAGCAACACGAGCTCAGTGTCGTACACGAATCACTCTGGCGAAAATTCCATGGAGAGCTCGCTAACGGAGCCAATGCCAGTGGCGGAACTGGCTGCCAGTCGACATGGCAGCAACAGCGATGACGGTGCCTCCTATCGCACGACCAACGATCAGTCCAGTGGCAGGAGCACAGCTCACACGCTAGGCATCAACAGTTTCGATCGTGATGCAGACGTTGATGATGATGATGATGATGGAGATAACGAGGACGACGACGAGGATGGACAAATCGATGGCGAGGAGCCGGATCAGCAAATAACAACTTCACAACCGGAAAGCACGAGCGGCAATCAAACCACCAGTGGTGTGTACTCGCGGCGCTCCTCGCAGCCCTATAAGGTCGGCAAATATCTTGTGGCTGTTCATCGCAAAATCACGCGCCACGACAGTTACTTCCTCTCCTACCATAAAACCCGGCCCAGCCTGTTTGGTGTGCCACTGCTAATACCGAACTGTGATGGTGGCACCCATAAGGATCTCTACTGCGCCGTCTGGCTACAAGTTAGTCGCCTGCTGAGTCCTCTGCCAGCCACCACCGAACAAGCTAATCATGCAGCCGACTGGTAAATATGCTCACCTTTCCATAAATAACGCTGCCAAACATAACATCAACTCCTTCTTGCAGTGACGACAGCCTAGGCTATGATTTCCCCTTCACACTGCGCGCTGTTAAAGCGGACGGTCTCACCTGCGCCATTTGTCCCTGGTCAAGTTTCTGTCGCGGCTGCGAAATTCGCTGCAATAATGACTATGTGCTCCAGGGTGCATTGCCGCCCATCAACTCTGCGTCTAGTAAGTTATCTTAACTCTAAAAAGATCAACATTCTCTAACTGGGTTTTCCTTCTAGATAACGTGGTCACGCCACAAATGAACGCTAAATGCCCATCGCTACCAAACCTGGAGGCCAAGCGAACATCGGAGTACACCACATCGCTATCCTACACACCAACAACAAAATATTTTGAAGACTTTACCATTGCCATCGACTGGGATCCAACTGCATTGCATTTACGTTATCAAAGCACTTTGGAGCGCGTAAGTGAACAGCCTTCAATGAGCTTCAATATATTTATATGTGAATTGGTTTATTGTGCTCAGCTTTGGATCGATCATGAGACCATTGCGATATGTCGTCGGGAACAAGTGGAGCCCGTTGATCTGAATCACTGCTTGCGCGCCTTTACCTCCGAGGAGAAGTTGGAACAATGGTACCACTGTAGCCACTGCAAGGGCAAGAAGCCAGCGACGAAGAAGTTACAAATATGGAAGTTGCCACCGATTCTGGTAAGGAATTCTTCGTCTCTTCAAGGCATTACTAAGTTATTCATTCTGTTGTTGCTTCGCCCTAGATTGTCCATTTGAAGCGTTTCAATTGTGTCAATGGAAAGTGGGTAAAATCACAAAAGGTTGTGCACTTTCCCTTCGATGACTTTGATCCCACGCCCTATTTGGCCTCTGTGCCACAGGAGACAATACTACGGCACAAGGAGCTACTGGAGCTGAAGCGAGATTTGACAAGCGCCAGCAATGAAGTTCCTAGCGAACTTGATGAGGTCGATGCCAACGGCAGAGCAGGAGAAGACGTGCCGCTTCCAGCTGATGAGGCAGCAAGCGAAAAAGCCGACACAACAAAGGAAACGCCGCTAGCCACTGGCTGTGTGCTGCGTCAGAGCAAGTCGACCAATTCAGCCAGACGACAGCGGCTCATTTCCACGAGCCTCACAAATACGCCTATTGTGGATGGGGAGTTCGAGGACTATCATCAACACAAGCTGCACGCGGATGTTGATGAGTTCGATCCCAAATACAAGCTATACGCCGTAGTGGTAGGTCACAACTAACTAATCAATTATTAATGACAACTAATGCTGACCCTTTGCTTTCTGCAGTCGCATTCGGGCATGCTGAATGGTGGTCACTACATTTCCTATGCATCAAACACAACTGGTTCCTGGTATTGTTACAATGATAGCTCCTGTCGCGAAATATCGCAAAAGCCGAATATAGACCCGAGCGCAGCGTATTTATTATTCTATGAGCGCCAGGGTCTCGACTACGAACCCTACCTGCCGAATATCGAGGGACGGGCGCTGTCTAATGCGGCCAACCTGCAGTTGGATGTGGACGAGTCGGAGAGCGAGCTTAAAAAGCTATGCACAATATCATAATATTGTATTAATATTGTTGCAAACTACAGGAAGCGGCGCTACAGGCATAAGGCTTAAGGCTATGATGGAGGTTCTTCAATCGCTTGTGTTTAATTTTATATATATAATATTTGTGAGTGTGTTGGTGTGCGTGTGCTTGTGTTTTTTGTTATTTACTATTCTAAGCTGATTTGCTGTTCTAGCTTAAGTTGCCCACAATATCTAGTTTTAGATCCAAACATACTTGAAGTTTTTTGTTGTTGTGAGCAGTCGCACATTCGCGTTGCAAATGTGATTTTGTTTAATGTACCATATTCCATACCATATGTACCATACATTGCTATATATTATTATTATTTGATAACTATATGTGTAAATTCAAACTTAGTTCTCTCACATAATTTGTTTTTGTCAGTTTATTATTAGATTATTTAATGGCGAAGTTTGTTTGTTAAATTTGTTTACTTTTTTTTTAATTATTATTAACGTTTCTTTTGTTGTACTTCGTATTATGTATTAGGCCACCAGAGCCAGCTTGTAATTAACTATAATTACTCGTATTTGTATATGCATATACAAAGTATGCAATTCCATTTATTTGTAATTAATGTAAATATTGAAATGGAGAACGATATTGCGATTAGGAGATCAAATTACCCATGGTCGAAAAATTGCTCGTCAAATGTTGTCGAAACCTTGATATTAATTAGCAATATTTTAATAGCAAGAAGCTACGAATGAGGTAGCAGGAATTCGCTCTCATTATTGTGCCCTACTCATATTTCGTAATTGATCGGTTCTGAGATCTGTGTTGCGCTTATCAGATGACTTCATTATGTTTAATAACAATGTAATTGATATTTACAAATTGCATATATACATATGTACACACACGAGTATATACACATACAAACTTAACTAATTTATACTTAATATACAAAAACTATACAATAATAATACAAAGCAACAAAGTTACGAGTATCAAATCAAATAAAAGTCTGTCGCTTGAAAAAATGTTTGTTATTTAATACTAAGGGATGGGCGTAGTTGGCGGTTAAAAAATGGAGTCACATAAGCTTATAGTCCTTTGGGAAGTATTTGGATACAAGGCCAGGGCTGTCCGTTTGAGAGAATCTTGGCGTCGTTCGATTAATTGCAAACTGCAACCAATTGCTAAATAAAATTGAATCTGTAACTTTTATATGCTGATTTCCACCTCCCATCTCCACACATAAGAAAAACACGCAAAATGTTATTTTGGTTTGCAATGGAATCGGATTTATATATTGTTTATGTAGCTATATAAAATTAATTCACATAGCAGGTAAATAAGCATTTAATATAATTGTCATTTAGAATCGGCTAGAAGTAGCCAAAATGTTCTATTTATAGAATACGGTAAATTGTGAACGGTTAATTAATTAATTTCATTTCATTGCAAGTATTTTTTGATAAATATTTTAAGTGTATATTGGGTATGCATTTTCTTTTAATATACGTAGCGTTAAATTCTTAGCTGAAGAGTAATTAATTTCCATGGAATTTGAATGCTTTTATGGTGCTCAGGTGCCGCCGGCGTTGTTGGACAGCTGCCCGGGCACAGAGAACTGTGGTCGAAAGTTGGCAAAGTTCCCAGCGGGTCCCCCCGTGAACGCTGGCAAGGTGGTGCCCTGAAAGCCGGCCGGAAATTGTGCCATCAATTGAGCTGCAAAGGGTACAAAGTATGTGGGTTAAACACAATCCAAAAATGACACATGGCGAGTTGTATAAGGGAAACCTACCCGCATTGGAGGCGTTGCCAGCGGTGGCAGCCAAACGCGATAAAATAGAACGCTCCGACATTTGCAAGCGTTGTGCTACCGGTGGTATGCGTGCCAGGGTGGCGGGCAGGCGAGAAACATCGCTCTTCATGTCGGACAGCAGCTCCTCTAGCTGATTGAGCACCTTGTGCAGCACCGCATTGGCTGGCTTATTGCCGGCTAGCGACTCCTTGCTCAGATGCTGATGCGACTCAGCCAGGCATTCAACCTCGGCAAAACGTGCATTTAGCGACATAGCCGGATGGCTGGGATCCTGGGCAAGATTCAAGAAGGCTGCACGTCGCAGCTGCTCTTCAATGACCAACGCTTGCTCCAGCAACTTGAAGCGTCGTGCCAAGAATTTGTTCTTAATCTCCAGGAAGTTTCCCTTGCCAACGTCCATTTTGAACGGCTCATTGATAATGGCGAATCGTATATCGTTTTGAATGTCCTGCCAGCGTCCGTAGCCATGTGTGACAATGCCCGCCAGTAGCCAGTAGTCGTGGCGACGATGCCAGATCTCATATTCGCGTCCGGGCACAGCTGCCTTCTCTTCGTTCAACCACAAGGTGTGCAGCTCGGTGAAGCCGCCATCGGCAATGTTGAACATAAATTTGCGCTTCAACACCTCGAGACTGTCCTCAACCAGCTTGCCTCCTGCTCCGGTGCCTGCAACAGCAGCACTCTTTTGATCCTTGGGTGAGTTGGCGTTGGCACTGGCATTGGGCTTCTCCAGCTCACCATCCTCCTTGACGATCATTACGTCGTCGTCGTCATCATCAATTATGTTTGTGGTAGTGGTGCTGCTGCTCGGGTTATTTGCCGGCTTCTCCTCGCTTGCCTTCTCCTTCTCCTTTTCCTTGTCGTCGGTCTGCTCGGTCTTCAGCTCTTCCTTAGGCTGTGCCTCTGATTGCTCTTTGCCTTCCTCTTTTGGCTCCACTTTAGGTGTTTCGCTCTTCACGCTTGCCTCCCCAGTCTTGGTCTCGGCCTCAGCGGAGTCCTCAGGCTTCTCTTGCTTAACAGCCGCATCGACCGCCTTTTTGTCCTCCTCGGCATCTGGTTCCAGTTTGGGTTCCTGTTTCTCAGGCGTTGCTTTGTCGATAGTTGCCTTATCTTCGCTCTTCTCTGAAGCAGGCGCTGGACTGGGCGCTGCGCTCGTCGCAGGTGTTGCGCTGTTGCTGGTCGTGGCGCTCTCGGCCGGCGGCTTGGCTGCAGCCGGTGCGTTGGCATCAACTGCTGCTACCTCCTGTTTGCCACCAGAACGCACCGGCTCGCAGGGTTTGAGTATCAGCTCAGGCATGCTGTAGTAGCCATTGATGTGCTCGAATTCTTGCACCTTCTTGCGTATGAGCGACATGACGCCGATGCGCGTGAGCACATGCTGACGAGACAGACCCTCCCGCGGCACGCCATCTGCAAAGGTCTCGGCATTGTCGGCGCCCGGTTCGCACAGATGTCGCATAAAGAGCGAAACGTAGGCCTTGAAGTTACGCTCAGATTTGCCACGCAAATCTCGCACCAGCCACTGCGAATTGAAAGCATCCTGGGGCGGCATGCCGTAGCGCATAATGGCATTGAGGAAGCTCTTCCGCTGCCTGGCGTTGAAGCCCAGCACCTCAATGTTGCCGCCGACACGCGCCAGCAGAGGCGGCAGGGGACGATCATCGCGTCGCTCCAATCGCCGCTTGGCCTTGCGCTCGCCGTTCTGTTCATCGAAGTCATCATCGCCGCCATCCTCGTCGCTGCCGCCGGAGTATTCGGAATTGTATTCGCTGCCATTGTCCTGCCAGTTGGAGTCGTCGCGGGAGGTGTCCGCTGCAACTACACCTCCATCCGTGTAGTTCACCTGCTTGCGCACACGTTTGCCCTTGCCCAGGGTGCGACCGACGTCCTCTTGATGCTGCTCGTAATGATGACGCAGCAGTTTGACCCAGTAAGCGGGATCTGAGTTCTCGGCATCTTGCTTAATGATTTCCGTTTCCTCCTCTTCCTCCTCCTCTTTAGTAGCGTACGATGCCACCTTAAAGGAGGACAAATACTCATTTGCCCATGACTCCTTCTCCTCAATGCCGCGATTGGTTCGATCAAGCAGCTCCGCCACGGCCTTGTCATCATAATGGATGGCCTCCTCCTTGTCGTCCTCCTTGAAGAGATCCTCAGTGCCAAAACGTAGAATATCGTCCAGCTCCTGCTTTGTGAAATTGGCTCCCTTGCCGCCCATGCCGGGACGCACTACCAGATGGGTTAACATCATCTTGCGCTTGGCCACTTGTGTGACGCGCTCCTCCACCGAGTTGCGTGTGACAAAGCGATAGATCATCACCTTGTTGGCCTGGCCAATACGATGGGCACGCGAAAAGGCCTGTATATCATTGTGAGGATTCCAATCGGAATCATATATAATGACCGTATCGGCTGTGGCCAAGTTAATGCCCAAGCCGCCGGCGCGTGTGCTCAGCAGAAAGACGAACTGCTGTGCTCCAGGCGCATTGAATCGATCGATGGCCTCCTGGCGGACAGTGCCCGTGATGCTGCCATCGATACGCTCGTACTTGTACTGTTCGCCTTCGAGGAAGTCCTCGAGGATGTCCAACATCTTGGTCATTTGTGAGAAAATCAGGACACGATGATTCTGTGCCTTCAACTGCTTCAGCATCTTCGAGAGCAGGACCAGCTTGCCGGCTGCCTTGGTTAGTGAATTGATTTCATAGATGCCGCCCGCAGAGGTGGGCGCCTCTTCGGAACCCGATGGAAATAGATACGGATGATTGCAGCACTTCTTCAGATCCATCATGATGTTGATCAAGGAGCAGGAGCCGCCGCCGCTCTTCGAGTTGAGTGCCTCATAGTTCTTGGTCAAGATAAACTTGTAGAACTTCTTTTGCATGGCCGACAGCTCGACACGCACAATAAACTCGGACTTGGAGGGCATGTTCTTTAGCACATCGGTCTTCAGACGACGCAGCATGTGTGGGCCCAGCATTTCATGCAAACGCTTCACCTGCTCCTCCTTAGACACGTCCGCAAACTCGCCCTGGAACGCCTGCAGATCGTTGAATTTGTCGCGGCTCAAGAAGTTAAGCAAGTGGAACAACTCCTCCAAATTGTTCTGCAATGGGGTTCCAGTGAGCAGCAGCTTGTAGGCAATCGAATAGCTATTCAGGATGCGGAAGAACTTGCTTTGATTGCTCTTCAGGCGATGCGCCTCATCAACCACCAGCACCGCCCAGTCAATGCTGCCCAAGCAGGGCGCATCCATGGAGATCAGCTCGTAGCTGGTGAGCAGCACATTGAATTTGTATTGGGTGGTGCGCAGGCGCGAGACCTTTGTGCCACGTATGGCGCCCTCCTCGAAGGTCAGCTCGTTCTCGCGTATCACGGCACGCGAATCCTTATCGCCAATGTATGTGATGCAATAGAAATCGGGCGCCCACAGCTCAAACTCACGCTCCCAATTGACCAGGGTGGAGAGCGGCACAGCCACCAGAAATGGGCCACGGCAATGTCCCTCCTTGTAGAGCGAATAGAGAAACGTTACAGTTTGGATGGTCTTG